CATGGTCCTCCAGGCCAGCAGGTGGTGTTGGTACCCGCTTTCACCAGAGCCTGGGGAGAGGCCACTGCCACGGACCTGAGCTAGGACGGGTCTCAGGGCACAGAGGCTGTGAGGCCGAGTAAACAGTTCAAACTTAGGCTTTATTAAATGCTCAAGAATAAGGAACTTAAAGTATAACTTCAGTAACTAAGGTTTCTCTTAAACTAAGTCTTATCTACCAACCTGTCTGCTGCCGTCTCCAGTCCTTCCCTGAATGTGAGCAGCAGCAGCCTACTCAACTGTTTGCTGGAAGGCACCCTAAGGTTTAATGCCAATGCGCTAACAATGTCATATTTCTTGCCTTTGATGTATTGGGTATGAAAAAAAAACTAGATCTTGTGCTTGCCTGTGTGTGCGTTGTTTTAGTTTTTTGCTCTTCACTTTTGAAGCAGCCCTCAAGAATAATCTTCTGCTTGGATTTTGTACTGCTCTCTGCTGATAGTTTTTCGACTTGACTTCAGATTCACCGTATGAAATCTGCAACAAACAAGAACAATGATACATTAAAGTTAAAAAAAAAACGATATGAATGTTGATATCAGGACATTCTGAGGGTCTTGTGAATTTCTTCTACTAGAGTCTACATTACAGTGCCAGTTTAGTTGGAGCTCAGCTCCTCGTCCCTCCTAGTATTCCATGTTTTAAGCCGTTTCTGCTCCACTGCCAATGGATGTGCATACGTTAGATGGCACGGACTGAGGTGCTTTCCTGGGGGCGAAGGATCAGGCTCTTCCTGTCTCTGCTTTGGTCATTTGCAGAGTTAGGCCACACATGGCTGCTCACACCAAGCAGAGCAATGGGCTATGGTTCCAACATGGCCTTAATGTCCTCTACCTGCCTCAGAAAATTTTTCTAACACAGACAGACACACACACATACAGTTGGGAGACAATAGACAAGGATGGTGAGTGACTTGAATCCCCTTTTTTATATAGGGCGATGTCAACCTGGTTATGGTGTGATTGTCTCACTGTGGTGGTGCTGCGGCAGTCTTTATTTATTTCACTCTACAAGCCCTGGAGATTGAGCTGAACTACAGAGCCATATTTAGCTTTTATTTAAGAAGATTGGGCTGGCCAGCCAGAGACTGTCCGATGGCCTAGCCCCTGCTCACCGATGGCCAGTCGGATCAATACAACACAAATGAGGGTCTTTGAGACGCAGCCGTGGCACTTACGGGGTGATCGCTTCTGATGAAGTCTTTATCAGCCTCTATTGACAGATTCATTTGAGCAACCTCCTCCCCCGTCCCCTGCTCCTCTCCCAACTGTAAAGTAATGGATACTAAGCCCCCTCCTTTAAAAGTTTATAATTGCTGATGGAATGATTGATAGGAACACAACCCCTTTTAAGTTTGTTTTTGTTATTTCTGCCTTGATATCTGATGGAGGAAATTACTTTTCAGGGGAGTTCAGGTGACCACTATGGTTCTTTGAGACCATTGTTCAGTCCGATACTGCAGCGTTGTGGCCAAATAGACCTACCCCATCAAAGGAGAATACAAAGAAAACATCAGCTCTCCAGAAAAATGAAGAAAAAGAAAATGCAAGCGGGAGAAGATTTGCTTTTAGAAGCAAGTCAAAGAGCAACCTGGCGTCCGATGAAGGAGTGTGGAAATTTCTAAATGATTACATATTTGATTTCCAAACAAGCCGCGGGGGTATTGGATATCACAAGCTAATGCGCGGCGGTCACATGTGCACTCTTGGAAATTGGTCAAGGCTCGTCTCAGCCTTTGAAGTCACAAGTTGTTTTTTCGCGTTTAGAGTAGCTGCTCCAGAGGAAGCCTAATCCGTGTGGTATTGCTACGGAAAGCAGTATTTCGACAACACTCCAAACGGCGTTCGTGACTCCACTAATTTGCCGTTGTTGTTTTACCTGCTTTGTATTTTGCAGCCCCTCTCGACCCTCATCTCGCTCGCTCTCTCCCACTCTCGGTTACCCTCAGAGGGAGCTGTTACCCAAGCCTCCATGGATTGGCCTGAGGTGGTTTCCCAATCGCGAGAAACTGGATTTCTCTGTGAATTGATTAAGAGAAAGATTTGCTGCATCTTCTTCTGCAGCTGTGTTTGGTTGGCTCAATGATGTAACCTGACTTGAGCCTGTAATTTATACACCACTATCTGCCTCTTTAAAAATAAGCTTGTTCATTGTCTTACACTCCGTCAATTGTACACATCTTTGTCATTGTCTTGGAATATGTAAACATACAAGCACTGTTGTCGGGCGTTATGGGATTTCTTCTAGTCGCTTTAACACTGCTGCGCCACCAGCAACCCCCACCCTCACACCAAGCCCAGTCACTCTCCAGTCAATTTCATTAATGCTAAATCCCACATCCTACACAGCTGCCTTAAAAAATAGCTTTTGGAAATTGAGTTGTAATAAGATACCGTGCGCTGCCAAGGTGAATAAGAGGCGGCTCTTGAATGCCTCTCTCTGTCTCACCCTCTGTCTTTCTCTCTCTCTGACACACACACACACACACACACATTTTGCTCCATGTTGTTCCCATCTCTTACTGTGCTGCAGCAGAGGGAAAAGGTTACAACCTCCACAGCAGCTAATTCCCCATTGATCTGCCCTGGGGCACCAGACCTTTATAGAGAGCAAAGCATATTAAAGGCAGAGAAAAGTCCGCACACTGCTGTTGACCACTCTGTTCTGCATGTTTGTTCACAACAGCAGAACTGAGGGCTAACGCCCAACCGAGACTTCCCACACTTTGTTGGGATTTAAAGATCCCACTGCCATAAGGGGAGATATCTGAGAGCATTAAGATATTGTAAAGTAATATTGCTCCTTTTCCAGAGTAGAGACCATGTGATCTCATGTCATTTTCTTATTATTTATATACAGTGCATTCTGAAAGTATTCAGACCCCTTCACTTTTTTCACATTATGTTATGTTACAGCCTTATTCTAAAATTGATTAAATCATTTTTTTCACTCATCAATCTACACACAGTAGGGGCGGCAGGTAGCTTAGTGGTTAAGAGCGTTGAGCCAGTAACCGAAAGGTCGCTGGTTCTAATCCCTGAGCCGACTAGGTGAAAAATCTGTCTGCCCTTGAGCAAGGCACTTAACCCTAATTGCTCCTGTAAGTCGCTCTGGATAAGAGCGTCTGCTAAATGACTAATTAATTAATAAAAAAATGACAAAGTGAAAACAGATACCTTATTTACAGAAGTATTCAGACCCTTTGCTATGAGGCTTGAAATTGAGTTCAAATGTATCCTGTTTCCATTGATCATCCTTGAGATGTTTCTACAACTTGATTTGGAGTCCACCTGTGGTAAATTCAATTGATTGGACATTATTAGGAAAGGCACACACCTGTCTATATAAATTCCCACAGTTGACAGTGCATGTCAGAGCATAAACCAAGCCATGAGGTCGAAAGAATTGTCCGTAGAGCTCCGAGACAGGATTGTGTCGAGGCACAGTTCTGAGGGAGGGTACCAAACAATTTCTGCAGCATTGAAGGTACCCAAGAACAGGTAGTTACAGTCTTCTCCCGTACGGACTCGGGAGAGGCGAAGGTCGAGAGCCATGCGTCCTCTGAAACATGACCCTGCCAAGCCGCACTGCTTCTTGACACACTGCTTGCTTAACCGGAAGCCAGCCGCACCAATGTGTCGAAGGAAACACTGTTCAACTGGCGACCGAAGTCAGCGTGCATCTGCCTGGCCCGCCACAAGGAGTGGCTAGAGCGCGATGAGACAAGGTCACCTTCCCCTAACCCGGATGACGCTGGGCCAATTGTGCGCCGCCTTATGGCTCTCACAGTCGCGGCCGGCTGTGACACAGCCTGGGATCGAACCCGGGACTGTAGTGACTCCTCAAGTGCAGTGCCTTAGACCGATGCGCCACTCGGGAGGCCCACCACCATCATTCTTAAATGGAAGAAGTTTGGAACCACCAATACTCTTCCTAGAGTAAAAGGAACATGACAGCCTGCTTGTAGTTTGCCAAAAGACACCTATAGACTCTCAGACCATGAGAAACAAGATTCTCTGGTCTGATGAAACCATGATAGAACTCTCTGAATGCCAAGCATCACGTCTGGAGGAAGCATGGCACCATCCCTAAGGTGAAGCATGGTGGTGGCAGTATCATGCTGTGGGGATGTTTTTCAGTGGCAGGGACTGGGAGACTAGTCAGGATCGAGAGGAAGATGAAAGGAGCAAAGTACAGAGAGATCCTTGATGAAAACCTGCTCCAGGACCTCAGACTGGGGCGAAGGACAACAACCCTAAGCACACAGCCAAGGCAACGCAGGAGTGGCTTCGGGACAAGTCTCTGAATGTCCTTGAGTGGCCCGGACTTGAACCCGATCGAACATCTCTGGAGAGATCTGAAAATAGCTGTGCAGCTACGCTCCCCATCCAACCTGACAGAGCTTGAGAGGATCTGCAGAGAAGAATGGGAGAAACTCCCCAAATACAGGTGTACCAAGATTGTAATGTCATACCCAAGAAGACTCGAGGCTGTAATCGCTGCCAAAGGTGCTTTAACAAAGTACTGAGTAAAGTGTCTGAATACTTATGTAAATGTATTCTTCAGGGGGGGGTTTTTAAATATACATTTGCTAACATTTCTACAAACCTGTTTTTGCTTTGTCATTATGGGGTCATTGTGTGTAGAATGATGAGGAAAAACAACAACAATTTAATCAATTTTGAAATAAGGCTGGAAAAAGTAAAGGGGTCTGAATGCTTTCCGAATGCATATAGTTTTAAATGATCACTTAAATTGATCCACCAAAACACAAACCTATCAATACATTTAAAGCTGTTTGTATTCAGTGTTGCTGAATTGTAAGTGTTGACTGACCTACCCTCTCTATTCACACTCAGATATCTCACCAGGTGATGGTATCCAGTTCTGTATGCAGTATTATTGTTCAGGGTTAAATATGTTGACTGACCTGTCCTCTCGTTCTCTCTGTCTCCACAGAGCTATCAGATGTGGAGCCCAACGTATTCCTGCGGCCCTTCCTGGAGGTGGTACGATCTGAAGACACCACCGGACCAATCACAGGCCTGGCCCTCACCTCTGTCAACAAGTTCCTTTCCTACGGCCTCATAGGTGAGCAGCACAGCTGTCCTCATACACACAGACAGACCTGTCAGGGCAAAAAGCCAACACTTTTGTCCAAGCATTTATGATATAGCACTATAAGAGATGGCACTATAAGGTGCCATGTCAGTTATTTAGCCTTGATATTGTAAGTAATGTAGCATTGACAGAGATTTCTGTGTGGGACCATTACGTTGTTCTTAAAGACAGCTTTCCATTAAGAGGGGTGACTTGTTTATATTGGCAATCTGTGAGAACACAGTCATCATGGACTCGTTATCAATGCTTAAATGGACTTGTTGTTTACTACACAAATAGTACTGCCCGTCCTTGCTAGCGTCCTCGCTAGCGTCCTCATGGAAATGTGGCAAGCATGTATCTCCAGATGTTATTCTAAATAGCAGGGGTAGAATAAATGTTACATCTCCCACCGTCAAAACAGCTGCAACCCCTCGCTAAACTAAATAAGCTCCATTGTAACATTGAATAACACCATTTATCGCATCCCTGTCCTGAACATGTTGTTTTTATTGGCCTGTAATTTTATCATTCAGCTGTTATGTTGGCCAGTATTCTGTGAATAAAACAAATGTGGGAAGGGTAGGCTATGTGTAATTTAGATTTCAGCTCCACGACCATTGCTTTTGGCATGTGTCCTGAGGTGTACCGTAGTTGTGTTTTTCGAGACTGATCCTGCAAGCCCTTGGTATACCTGGCAAACTGAGTCTAGACGCACATACTCACACACGCTCACACACGCTCACACACACCACACCACACTCCCACAAACCACACACCATCACAGATCAGCCTTTCAAATCACTCCCCGACTCCCAGAGCCCCTGTCTGTCACTCAAAACCCAACGCCTGCTTCCTAATCCTATAACCCCCCCCCCCCCCCCCCCCCCCCCCCCCCCCCACACACACACACCTCATCAGCGGGGTTCAAAGGGGTGGGTAACCATGGCAACGTGACCCAGCGGCCCTCAAGACAATGGCCCTCCAGCGCAGAATGAAGAGAAGGATATGACACGCTCAGATATTACCCTCCGTTTGAATTAAATCTGTGTTCCTCAAATGCTGTGAGGTCTTTCCCAGCTTGTTTAACACACTGAAGTCAATGGCATCATTTTCCCCTATACCATCTGTCTGCTCACACAGCAAGTGGCTAGTTGGATCACACAGTCGTTAGACGTATTGAGGAGCTGATAATGGTTAGGAAGTACTGGTTGTTTTGGACTCTGATCGTACATAAATACATGAATTTTTCAACAGCATATTACTGTACAATAAATGTAATGTAGCTGTAGTTAAATACTTAATCTGTCTAATAAAATGCTAAATAATGATTGAGTTGTAATGGAGATTGTATCTATAAAGTATTATGATTTAAATTGAAAAATAAATGATAGAGCTTTGATCAATGAAATTGATTAATTTTAGGCCTTCCCGAAAAAGTTGTAAAATACTGAAAATGATTTCTAATTGTAATCTATTTAGACATTAACATCGTTATTCAATAGATTAGCGTATTCACTAGAATAACTTATTCACTTCACGACTAGAATATGTACTTACTGTAGAATCTCAGATAAGAACGAAGGCAGGTCATCAAGTTGGTCCTGATGTCTTGTTGATTAGACAGTAAGTAGTGCCAAATTACAGGGCTTAATTACCATTTAAACCCAAATAGTTCCTAAATACTGCCTTAGTTATTTTCTGGTACTTACGACATGGTCATTTAAAGGAAGTGCCAGTACCTAGTCATTTACAATTGACTGCAGAGTCGGAGAGAAACTTCTTACCTTAATAACCAGGTGAACAACAGACGGTCTGTCTCATGTTCATAGAGTCATGTGAGATTGAATGAACGAATTAATGATCTTTCAGAGTCAAAGGGTTTTTATACTAATGAGCCTGCTCCATTAGTTTGTTCTGATTAGGCCTATCTGCAGTGAAAAGTCAACTTAGTATCCCTCTGTTCAGATATTTATGAGAGCTGGCTATCTATATTAGCTAAAGATATGACATGTAGCCTACATTAGTACTGCACACATAGGCCTACTCAATCTATCAAAACTTTGGGAAACGAAATGTTGCTTTCAAAACCCCAGCCAAAGGAAATGTCTAAAGTTTTTTGTTGGCCATTTATCACACCGTTGTACAAGCGGTATAAGAGGTTTAAAATGACTTCTGTTGGTGGTGAATGACTGATACTAAGAGACAGGCAGAGGGCTGATCCTGTTAAACACTGCCATCTGCTGGCTGCAGTGCCAAAAATGTTTAGATTTACTGGTCAGTCCCTCGTTTTTGATCATTTTATTTGTCAATTTGTAATAATTGCTATAGTTTTTTCCATTAGATGTATGGTAAGCCTTACGCTAATTAGAATCTCTCAATAGATTTCTCAACATCAGCTTACATTGATTAGGGATCAATTCACTTTGGGATAGTTTTCCCTCACTATAATGTTGTCTGTTATGGAAACAATGAACAGTTTTCTTCAAGTATCACAACTGAAAAGTCCAATTGCAAAAACATTTTAATAACAGGGATAATGCGGCCACTGGTGGCAGGCTAAATACGTCTCTCTCAGTCTGTCTGCTTTGTTGTATAGACGTAGTGGAGGTTTTTCTTTGTCTTTGAATGAATACAGAGCTCTACTGTCTCCCATGCCTGTGATGTGGTGGAGAGGGCTCAGTGCAAGTTTACATATTCTTAATATCCCTTCCCAAGGCTCCTCTCAGGAAAAACACACCGCAGCATGTAGCCCTGTTCCTTTTACCCTGCTTTCACTCCGAACATGTTCCCCTTCGTGTCGTCCCTTTGTCCCCCCGTCCCCCTTCCTCTATTTGCAATGGGCCCTGCCTTACCCAGTCTGTCGCCCTGGGGGGTCCGGAGAAGACGGAAGGAAGAGAGGGAAATTACACACAAACACTCCCACTCGCGCACACATTTCATTTAGTGAGGGCTAATTCCCCTCAATCTGTGGCCTGAGGTCTGCTGGCACGGAGGGAGTGCTGGCCTAAGCCCCTCCACTGATGGACATCCTGATCCCCTCCTCTCCAACATCCCTCAGAGCCTAGAGGCAGCACCACTCAGCCTGCTGAAGGCAGCCATGGCCACACCGGCTCATAGGACAGCTCAACTGAGCATTTGCCTTCATTACCCGCTCAAAAGAGAGGTGTTACATCATATAGGCATTTATATATAAAACATTTTTTAACATGAAGGCCAGTAAAGTCAACTTTTAATGCAGTGAAAATATTATTGCAACATTTGACGATCTGATAGAGGTATTTTACAAAAATGTTACCTGGGGCTGTCTGATAATGGGTTGTAGTGCTATTCAATCACAATTATTTTATAAAGCCCATTTTACATCAGCAGTTGTCACAAAGTGCTATTCAGAAGGAGACAGGTGAGCTTGCACTTACACTAAGGACTCCAGAGGCACTTACACTAAGGAAAAGTACACACCCTTTTGTTTGATTTGAGGAGATGTATTGGTCATTGTACAGTATGTGCCTCTGGAGTTTTTGTGTGTGTGGCAAACCCACTCTCCTCTCACTCGGCAGTTCTTTTAATTATCGGAGAGTCTGAATGTTCTTTTTTAACGTCTTACTACAGGACAGCTGTTCCAGCCACGCACGCCCAGCCAGCGGTGTTATTTTCACAATGGTCCTCCCCTTCTTAGGCTAGAGTTTGCCAATAGGGATTAGTATTTTTATCACTTCTGACATTCTGCTGGATAGCCCGTGGCTCCAGTTTCTGTGGTGGGATGAGACGTTTTCAGTACAACTTCCATGGTTGTTGTCACCCTCGCCTCTTGAGGGATGTTGGCATTACTCAGTTTCATTCGGCTAACCACGTTCCGCCGTTTCTCTGCTTCCACTCAACTGTCATTCACTCGAGTTTTCTCACAGCATCGACAAACGCTCCAAGACTTTACACACACTCTTTCACTAAACATCTCACTGATAAGTAACTTCTCCCCACTTCATTTTGCTAATGACAGCGATTATCGATGGTCAGTGGGAAGGATGGCACCAGCCTAAACCTCTCCCCCGCCCCTGCCTAAACCCCTCCTATTGTTTATCTGTCAATAAATAGAATGTTGTGTGGCATCAGAGCTCTACCTGGAAAGGCTTTCACTTGTTCTCCCTCTACTTCCCCTAGTATGCTCTGCTTATTAGGCCTAGTTAATGAAATGCTCCTTTTAAGAGCGATGTCAAAAGAAAAACATGCTGGCTCCAGGCCGCTATCTGGCCCTGTTGGGTTTCAAAACACTGGCTCCTGTTGCCTAGACAGCCAATTGGCCAGCACTACCCACAAAAGGCCACATCTGGTGATTAGATCTCCAGGCTTTGAAGGACCTTCTGGATGGACCGTGTGTGTGTGTGTGTGTGTGTGACCATCAGATATAAGATTTATTGGCTCAACGGTCCAATCATCCAATCATGCAGTGCTATCACTTGTCAGAAAACCTGTCCTCTCTGCATTATCTGTTTGACAGCAGCTGTCTGTGCATTAAACATGCATTAATGTAATGATGCGCTTCTAGATAGTTTTGTTTCCCCCTTTGCCTTAGCATGGAGCTGGTGGCCACACCAGATACTGACTGTTACTTTTCATTTTGACCCCCCCCCCCCCCCCCCTTTGTTCAAGGACACATTATTCAATTTCTGTTAGTCACATGTCTGTGGAACTTGTTCAGTTTATGTCTCAGTTGTTGAATCTTATTATGTTCATACAAATATTTACACATGTTAAGTTTGCTGAAAATAAACGCAGTTGACAGTGAGAGGACGTTTCTTTCTTTGCTGAGTTTATTTAGACCCCTTGACTTTGTCCACATTTTGTTACGTTACAGCCTTATTTTAAAATGGATTAAATAAAACATTTTCCTCATCAATCTACACACAATACCCCATAATGACAGAGCAAATACAGGTTTTTAGAAATGTTAGCACATTCATTAAAAAAACTGATAACTTATTTACATAAATATTCAGACCCTTTGCTATGAGACTCGAAATTGAGCTCAGGTGCGTCCTGTTTCCATTGATCATCCTTGAGATGTTTCTACAACTTGATTTGGAGTCCACCTGTGGTAAATTCAATTGATTGGACATGATTTGGAAAGGCACACACCTGTCTATATAAGGTCCCACAGTTGACAGTGCATGTCAGAGCAAAAACCAAGCCCTGAGGTCGAAGGAATTGTCCGTAGAGCTCCGAGACAGACAGGATTGTGTCAAGGCACAGATCTGGGGAAGGGTACCAAAAAAATTCTGCAGCATTGAAGGTCCCCAAGAACACAGTGGCCTCCATCATTCTTAAATGGAAGAAGTTTGGAACCACCAAGACTCTTCCTAGAGCTGGCCGCCCGGCCAAACTGAGCAATCGGAGGAGAAGGACCTAGTTCAGGGAGGTGACCAAGAACCCGATGGTCACTCTGACAGATCTCCAGAGTTCCTCTGTGGAGATGGGAGAACCTTCCAGAAGGACAACCATCTCTGCAGCACTCCACCAATCAGGCCATTATGGTAGAGTGGCCAGACGGAAGCCACTCCTCAGTAAAAGGCACATGACAGCCCGTTTGGAGTTTGCCAAAAGGCACCTAAAGGACTCTCAGACCATGAGGAACAAGATTCTCTGGTCTGATGAAACAAAGATTAAACTTTTTGGCCTGAATGCCAAGCGTCACGTCTGGAGGAAACCAGGCACTGCTCATCACCTGACCAATACCATACCTGCGGTGAAGCGTGGTGGTGGCAGCATCATGCTGTGGGGATGGTTTTCAGCGGCAGGTACTGGAAGAGTAGTCAGGATCGAGTGATAGATGAACGGAGCAAAGTACAGAGAGATCCTTGATGAAAACCTGCTCCAGAGCGCTCAGGACCTCAGACTGGGGTGAAGGTTCACCTTCCAACAGGACAACGACCCTAAGCACACAGCCAAAAGAACGCAGGAGTGGTTTCGGGACAAGTCTCTGAATGTCCTTGAGTAGCCCGGACTTTAACCTGATCTAACATCTCTGGAGAGACCTGAAAATAGCTGTGCAGCGACGCTCCCCATCCAACCTGACAGAGCTTGAGAGGATCTGCTGAGAAGAATGGGAGAAACTCCCCAAATACAGGTGTGCCAAGCTTGTAGCATCATACCCAAGAAGACTCGAGGCTGTTATTGCTGCCAAAGGTGTATCAACAAAGTACTGAGTAAAGGGTCTGAATACTTATGTAAATGTGATATTTCAATTTTTTATTTGTAAAACATTTGCAAATATTTATAAAAACCTGTTTTGTCATAATGGGGTATTGTGTATAGATTGAGGGGGAAAAACTATTTAATCCATTTTAGAATAAGGCTGTAACGTAACAAAATGTGGAAAAGGTAAAGGGGTCTGAATACTTTCCGAATGCAGTGTGTGTATTCTCAATGAATTTGGTGGCGTTTTTTTCCCCCCTGTTCAGAGAAATTAGTCATTGAAGTTGTTGTACATGAAGCGTATAAATGCTAATATAGGTACCATTGACTTGCATTAGATTTGTGACACATGCTAAAAAGTTAGCATTTGAAACAGTGGACAACAAAACCAACTCATGGATTGTTGTCTTACCTTCTCCATAGACTGCTTACATGGTGAGGAAACCAATGTCATTTTGTAATTTGGGTGAACTATCTGTTGAACATTGAGGGCGGGGGGGCAAATTGGGTGCAAACAAGTAGCTTAATTTCTCAGGTCAAATTATATTTCAACCAAATAATGTTGCAGGGAATGCTAATCTTATCTGTTTTGTAACAATTTCAGAACAATCTGAGATGGTAGGTGTCGAAATCCTCTTTCTTGTGCTTTTTGAGGTGGAACAACCCCATGGTCTTTTACTTAGAATTTTTGCTATTTTAATTCTTCAATTGCTCAGATGACAAAATGGTGTCTTCATTGATCATATTGGAACAGAATAGTGGTTTAGTTGGTCTGGAAAACAATGTCTGCCACACAGGTATGTTCGTTTCGAGGTTGAAGGCCACCATGAGGATTTCCTTAACATCAAACGTTTCACAGACTGGCTTGTTGCACAGGACTGGCATCTGGTAAAAAGATGGCATTATCAATGTGGCATTCCTCTCAATAACATCCTCCTCGACCTGCCTGCTTTGGACTGGCCTCCATGCAGGGGATACAGCAACACTCGCTAGCGGCTAACACTTATTTCCCTTTCTCAGTTCGTTCTTGTTTTGAAGGACAATGCTATCCAACATTGTAATGTGCCTCTCACACAGTTTCAAATGTAGTTGTCACTTAAATTCAGCTGAAGTGTTGTGAGTGAAACTTGGCAGACTTGAGGCTTGAATGAGCAGTGTAAGAAATGAGCGGTTTATAAAATGTCTGCTGATTTAAGGAGATGATCACAGTGGCCATCTTGTTGTCTGTCCTGTGCAGATGCTAACCACGAGGCGGCGGCGGAGGCCATCGAGAACATGGCGGACGCCGTCACACACGCCAGATTCGTAGGGACGGACCCCGCCAGCGATGAAGTAGTGCTCATGAAAATCCTACAGGTAATCTTACAGCTAGAATCTTACAGCCAAACGTGCACCAGACGATGATCAGTCAAACGTGTTTATTTCAAACAAGCCCCATCTCAAATGTAACCCTATTACCCATTTACAGTAGTGGACTATGCCATAGTTCTGAGTCATAGGCTCTGGCTAAGACACTGAATTAAACCCCAGCAAAAAAATAAAACGTCCCTTTTTCAGGACCCTGTCTTTCAAAGATAATTCGTAAAAATCAAAATAACTTCACAGATCTTCATTGTAAAGGGTTTAAACACTGTTTCCCATGCTTGTTCAATGAACCATAAACAATTAATGAACATGCACCTGTGGAACGGTCGTTAAGACACTAACAGCTTACAGACGGTAGACAATTAAGGTCACAGTTATGAAAACTTAGGACACTAAAGAGGCCTTTCTACTGACTGAAACACACCAAAAGAAAGATGTCCAGGGTCCCTGCTGATCTGTGTGAACGTGCCTTAGGCATACTGCAAGGCGGCATGAGGACTGCAGATAAATTGCAATGTCCGTACTGTGAGATGCCTAAGACAGCACTACAGGGAGACAGGACGGACAGCTGATGGTCCTCGCAGTGGCAGACCACGTGTAACAACACCTGCACAGGATCGGTACATCTGAACATCACACCTGCGGGACAGGTACAGGATGGCAACAACAACTGCCCGAGTTACACCACGAACGCACAATCCCTCCATCAGTGCTCAGACTGTCCGCAATAGGCTGAGAGAGGCTGGACTGAGGGCTTGTAGGCCTGTTGTAAGGCAGGTCCTCACCAGACATCACCGGCAACAACGTCACCTATGGGCACAAACCCACCGTCGCTGGACCAGACAGGACTGGCAAAAAGTGCTCTTCACTGACGAGTCGCGGTTTTGTCTCACCAGGGGTGATGGTCGGATTCGCGTTTATCGTCGAAGGAATGAGCGTTACACCGAGGCCTGTACTCTGGAGCGGGATCGATTTGGAGGTGGAGGGTCCGTCATGGTCTGGGGCAGTATGTCACAGCATCATCGGACTGAGCTTGTTGTCATTGCAGGCGATCTCAACGCTGTATGTTACAGGGAAGACATCCTCCTCCCTCATGTGGTACCCTTCCTGCAGGCTCATCCTGACATGACCCTCCAGCATGACAATGCCACCAGCCATACTGCTCGTTCTGTGCGTGATTTCCTGCAAGACAGGAATGTCAGTGTTCTGCCATGGCCAGAGAAGAGCCCAGATCTCAATCCCATTGAGCACGTCTGGGACCTGTTGGATCGGAGGGTGAGGGCTAGGGCCATTCCCATCAGAAATGTCCGGGAACTTGCAGGTGCCTTGGTGGAAGAGTAGGGTAACATCTCACAGCAAGAACTGGCAAATCTGCTGCAGTCCATGAGGAGGAGATGCACTGCAGTACTTAATGCAGCTGGTGGCCACATCAGATACTGACTGTTACTTTTGATTTTGACCCCCCCCCCCCCCCCTTTTGTTCAGGGACACATTATTCAATTTATGTTAGTCACATGTCTGTGGAACTTGTTCAGTTTATGTCTCAGTTGTTGAATCTTGTTATGTTCATACAAATATTTACACATGTTAAGTTTGCTGAAAATAAACGCAGTTGACAGTGAGAGGACGTTTCTTTTTTTGCTGAGTTTATATGGGGAATGGGTTGTCACGTTTCTTTTTTTGCTGAGTTTATATGGGGAATGGGTTGTCATTTGAAACTTCATACAAGTGTATTTCATGCATGAATACCCTGGCTGGATTCCCTTTGAGGTTGAACTTTTACTGTATTATTGCATACCTCGTAAACAGAGGAGGCTGGTGGGAGGAGCTATAGGAGGATGGGCTCATTGTAATAGCTGGAATGGAATAAATGGACAGAGTCAAACATGTGGTTTCCATGTGTTTGATACCGTTCCAAATATTCCATTCCAGCCATTTCAATGAACCCGTTCTCCTATAGCTCCTCCCACCAGCCTCCTCTGTTCGTAATGGCCCATGTAGAACTGAGATGGCAACCCTGAATGTTACGCACACACTCACATGAACACATACTGTCTCTGCCTTAACAGGTCCTGAGGACTTTGCTGCTCACGCCCGTAGGAGCCCACCTGACCAACGAGTCTGTGTGTGAGGTCATGCAGTCGTGTTTCCGCATCTGCTTCGAGATGCGCCTCAGCGGTGAGTTCTCTCTCAGTAATTCTCCCAGTGATTGATACACCTGGAAGGAACTGCAGCTAGTCCACATGATTTGCTAAATCTAAGCTGTATTTTATTAAGCTTTTCCAGGGGAAAAAATCTGGAACTCCTAGATATGAACCCGATTCCCACGTTTAGCTTCCATGGACTCCGGTGTCCTCTTCACACTCAACTACAACTCTCACCTCCTCCTTCAGTCATTAGTAGTTCACTACCCCCCTTTACCCCCCAACCCTCCCTCAGTCCCTGAGCTGTGCTTTAATAAAATGCCCTCCTTATCCAGGCCAAACAGACAGACAAGAGGACCCAGCCTGGCCTCTCTCCTCTTGTCCTCTGGGCTGTAATGGCACCTGCCTTGTTTGTTTTGCCCTCTCCACAGAGCTCCTGAGGAAATCAGCCGAACACACACTGGTGGACATGGTGCAGCTGCTGTTTTCCAGGTAACGGGAGGGGTGGGGGTGTGTGTGAGACAAGCCCAAGCCTCCCCACCGTACACTTGGACTGGAAACCTTCAGGAAATGAACTTCCAGTTTGTCTATAGAGAACCCTTTCAATTAGGATATTGGATTAGAGCGCCTACCCAGAAAACCACCGGGAGGGAAAGTTGGTAGGGTTAGGGCTTACCTCACTGTGCTCTGTGTAAATTACAAGTCTGTTTAATTTTACAAGTTGCTTCATAATCAGTGTCTGACTTTTTAGTTTGAAGATCATTTGGTAAACTTAAAATCCCGGTCCTCGTCATCAGACCTGCGAACCATTGGTTCTGTAAACGACCATGTTAAAGCGCCAATGATCATCATTCAAGCTTTTTAATACAAAAGTCAGTTTACCATCTACTGGTAATGGTATAATCCCTGTCAAGCCTCAATAGGAATTATCATTAAATACAGTGCCTTCAGAAAGTTTTCATACCCCTTGACTTTATCTACATTTTGTTGTGTTACAGCCTGAATTTCAAATTTTATTAAATTGAGATTTTGTGTTACTGGCCTACAAACAATACCCCATCATGTCAAAGTGGTAGAATGTTTGTTTTCTCAACATTTGTACAAATTAATAAAAACTTAAAAGTTAAATTGTCTAGAGTCGATAAGTATTCAACCCCTTTGTTATGGCAGAGCAAAAAACCAAGCCATGAGGTCGAAGTAATTGTCCGTAGAGCTCAGAGACAGGATTGTGTCGAGGCACAGATCTGGGGAAGGGTACCAAAATATTTCTGCAGCATTGAAGATCCCCAAGAACACAGGGGCCTCCATCATTCTTAAATGGAAGAAGTTTGGAACCACCAAGACTCTTCCAAGAGCTGGCCGCCCGGCCAAACTTAGCAATCGGGGGAGAAGGGCCTTGGTCAGGGAGGTGACCAAGAACCCGATGGTCACTCTGACAGAGCTCCAGAGTTCCTCTGTGGAGATGGGACAACCATCTCTACAGCACTCCACCAATCAGGCCTTTATGGTAGAGTGGCCAGACGGAAGCCACTCCGCAGTAAAAGGCAAATGACAGCCCTCTTGGTGTTTTGCCAAAAGGCACCTAAAGGAGTCTTAGACCATGAAGGTGGAAAGCTCCTTGGTGTACACATCACCGACAAATTGAAATGGTCCACCCACGCAGCCAGTGTGGTGAAGGCGGCGCAACAGAGCTTCAACCTCAGGAGGCTGAAGAAATGTGGCTTATCACCTAAAACCCTCACAAACGTTTACAGATGCACAATTGAGAGCATCCTGTCGGGCTGTATCACCGCAACTGCACCTCCCACAACCGCAGGGCTCTCCAGAGGGTGGTGCGGTCTGCCGAACGCATTACCGGGGGCAAACTACCTGCCCACCAAGACACATACAGCACCCGATGTCACAGGAAGGCCAAAAAGATCATCAAGGACATCAACCACCCGAGCCACTGCCTGTTCACACCGCCGTCATCCAGAAGGCGAGGTCAGTACAGGTGCTTCAAAGCTGGGACCGAGAGAATGAAAAACAGCTTCTATCTCAAGGTCATCAGACTGTTAAATAGCCATCACTAGCACATTAGAGGCTGCTGCTGCCTATTGAAATCACTGGCCACTTTAAGAAATGGAACACTAGTCACTAATAATGTTTACATATCTTGCACTACTCATCTCATATGTATATACTGCATTCTATTCTATAATATTCTTCTGTATCTTAGTCCATGCCGCTCTGTCATTGCTTGTCCATATATGTATATATTCTTAAATCCCATTCCTTTTTTGTGTGTATTGGGTATATGTTGTGAAATTGTTAGATATTACTGCACTGTCGGAGCTAGAAGCACAAGCATTTCACTACACCCGCTATAACATCTGCTAAACACGTGTATGTGACAAATAAAATTTGATTTGATTTGAGAAACAAGATTCTCTGGTCTGATGAAACCAAGATTAAACTCTTTAGCCTGAATGACAAGCGTCACGTCTGGAGGAAACATGGCACCATCCCTACGGTGAAGCATGGTGGTGGCAGCATCATGCTGTAGGGATGTTTTTCAGCAGCAGGGACTGGGAGACTAGTCAGGATCGAGGGAAAGATGAACAGAGTAAAGTACAGAGATCCTTGATGAAATCCTACTCCAGAGCCCCAGGACCTCGGACTGGGGTGAAGGTTCACCTTCCAACAGGACAACGACCCTAAGCACACAGCCAAGACAACGCAGGAGTGGTTTCGGGACAAGCCTCTGAATGTCATTGAGTGGCCCAGCCAGAACCATGACTTGAAACCGATTTGAACATCTCTGGAGAGGCCTGAAAAATAGCTGTGCAGCGACGCTCCCCATCCAACCTGACAGAGCTTGAGAGATCTTCAGAGAAGAATGGGAGAAACTCCCCAAATACAGGTGTGCCAAGCTTGTAGCGTCATACCCAAGAAGTCCTGAGGCTGTAATCGCTGCCAAAGGTGCTTTAACAAAGTACTGAGTAAAGGTTCTGAATACTTATGTAAATGTCATATTTTTTTGGGTGTATAACTTTGCAACAATTTAAAACAACTGTTTTTGCATTGTCTTTATGGGGTATTGTGTGTATATTGATTAGGGGGGAAAAGCAATTTAAATCAATTTTAGAATAAGGCTGTAACGTAACAAAATGTGGAAAAGGTCGAGGGGTCTGAATACTTTCCGAATGCACTGTATAGTGTAAGTTCAGGAGTAAAAATGTGCTTAACAAGTCACATAAAAGTTGCATGGACTCACTCTGTGTGCAATAATAGTGTTTAACACGATTTTTTAAATAACTACCTGCATACAATTTTCTGTGGTCCCTCAGTTGAACAGTGAATTTCAACCACGGATTCAACCACAAAGACCAGGGAGGTTTTCCAATTCCTCGCAAAGAAGGGCACCTATTGGTAGATGAAGAAAAAAAGCAGACTTTGAATATCCCTTTTTTTTTTTATTGTTTTTATTTATTTCACCTTTATTTAACCAGGTAAGCCAGTTGAGAACAAGTTCTCATTTACAACTGCGACCTGGCCAAGATAAAGCAAAGCAGTGCGATAAAAACAACAACACAGAGTTACATATAGGGTAAAACAAAACATAAAGTCAAAATACAACAGAAAATATATATACAGTGTGTGCAAATGTAGCAAGTTATGGAGGTAAGGCAATAAATAGGCTATAGTGCAAAATAATTACAATTAGTATTAACACTGGAATGATAGATGTTTAAGAGATGATGTGCAAATAGAGATACTGGGGTGCAAATGAGCAAAAATAAATAACAATATAGGGATGAGGTAGTTGGGTGGGCTAATTTCAGATGGGCTGTGTACAGGTACAGTGATCGGTAAGGTGCTCTGACAACTGAATATCCCTTTGAGCATGGTGAAGTTATTAATTACACTTTGGATGGTGTGTCAATATTCCCAGTCACTACAAAGATATGGGCATCCTTCCTAACTCAGTTGCATTAGAGGAAGGAAACCTCTCAGGGATTTCACAATGAGGCCAATGGTGACTTAAAATTACACAGTTTAATGGCTGTGATAGGAGAAAACTGAGGATGGATCAACAACATGTAGTTACTCCACAATACTAACCTAAATGACAGAGTGAAACGAAGGAAGCCTGTACAGAATAAAAATATTTGGAAACATGCATTCTGTTTGTAACAAGGCACTAAAGTCATTCTGCAAAAAATTTGACAAAGCAATTCACTTTTAGTCCTGGAATACAAAGTGTTAGGTTTGGGGCAAATCCAATTCAACACATTACTGAGTACCACTCTCCATATTTTCAACTATAGTGGGGGCTGCATTATGTTATGGGATGCTTGTAATCGTTAAGGAGTGGGGAGTTTTTCAGAGTAAAGAAATGGAATGGAGCTAAGCACAGGCAAAATCCTAGAGGAAAAGCTGGTTCCACCAGATACTGGGAGATGAATTCACCTTTTAGCAGGACAACAACTTAAAGCACAAGGCCAAATCTACACTGGAGTTGCTTACCATCTGTTTGAAAATCTATGGTAAGACCTGAAAATGGTTGTCTAGCAATGATCAACAACCAATTTGACTTGAAGAATTTTGAAAAGAATAATGGGCAAATGTTGCACAATCCAGTTGTGCAAAGCTCTTAGAGACTTACCCAGAAAGACTCACAGCAGTAATCGCTGCCAAAGGTGATTCTAACATGTATTGACTCAAGATATATTAGTGTTTTTATTTTTCATTATTGTTTTTACAAATGTTAGAATTCCACTTTGACATTACAGACTATTTTGTGTAGATCGTTGACAGAAAATGACAATTAAATCCATTTTAATCCTACTTTGTAACACAACAAAATATGAAAAACGTCAAGGGGTGTGAATACTTTCTAAAGGCATTGTATATTAACGTCCTCAGCAACACTTTGTGTCTTAATTTCCCTCTGCATTCAGAGGTCAACAGGGCGCTGGTTCACTAATGCAATAACATGATTCTCTACCGACACCGCATGGTGGGGCAGCACGCCACATTGCTCCCCCCTCTCCCAGAGGCCTGTACATTAGACTTCCAGTCACATCGTCTCACAGACGAGTGGATGAGCCTGCAGAGCGCCAGACTGTATGATCTGCATATAGATGAAGAGGAGCGTCTCCCCCATAAACACACACACACACACAGAATTAGCATGACCAGTAATCCTGGCAGAAATTATCATAAAATCAGCCGGAATAGAGTCGTCTCATTCTCTAAATGTATTACGCTCCCACCCCTCGCCACCTCAAGAATAAACAGAGCTCAAAACAAAGTCACGGTGTAATTCTCTGTCTTGGAGGCACATGGATCTCGGACGAGGCTATTTGATGCAGGATTTGTTAAGAAACGTGGTGTCTTCACAATAGAGCCAGTTGATATCACTAAGTCACCATCAGGACATTCTTTGTGTATTTGTGTCGTCATTGGGAGTTATGTGTTATGCACTGCAGCAGCTTGTTATCATATCTCTTACAACACTGTTTATTAGTTGTGGAAATATGGAAATATAAATAATGACAGCCATTGCATAAAAGGAGGCATCCGTGGTGAAAAGATGTAGGCCTATTATTACAACTTCCCTTCTCACAACAACATGCAAGTACCTTGAGGATGCCTATTACGTAGACTCACTTACTCACCCAGCCCCCTCTTGTCCACGGCTCATCCATAATAAAGATGTAAGAGCCTTGGGCCCCAGGCTGGGCATAATGAGCAGTGGACCTCATTGAGTGCTCAGGAGGAGGCTTAGATTGCCTGCTGAAAGTATTATGGATGTTAATCTGTTGGACCCACCGATCATCCAATAATCGAGCTTGCAAGACAACACTCTATTAACACGGAGTTAACGTCAGGGGCCCCCGTCTCCCTGTGTGTGTGTCTGTGGCAGCCAGTGACATCTCATTTGCCGCAAAGCCCAAGAGTCCACAGAGCACAGGGCTCTCAGACAATGTGTGATGAGTTAGAACATTACGCTGCACAGCTCATCTCATCAAGCCACTGAGAAGCTCATCTTGGTTGGGAATGAAAATGCAGGGCCTTCAGAGACAGATTGCTTCTGTCAGCCCAGTGCCTCATAATCATTGTTCTCTCTCTGTGTTTATGGTTATTTTCATGGAGCTTTGGTTAGTTTAACAAACTTTGTTTAGCAGTTGTCAACTTCGACACCAGCTGTTTTTATTTTACTGTCCGCAAGCCTTTGTGGGATTTAATTAAATTTCATCTAAGATGACAAACAATTTTCAGTTATTTGTCCCTGCTTGGATATTGACATGTATGAGGTTGCACAATACAGATTTTATTTTCAGTGTGGCCTTAATGACATTTAGTCTCCATGTTAGTTTAAACTGTAATATCCAAGTACTACCCTTGGTGTCACACAGTTTGCTAGGGCTTAAAGCCATCTGTGCTCTTAATGGCTGTGTACTTTTATAATCGCCACCGGGCACAGTCAGAAGAGGACTGGCCACTCCTTAGAGCCTGGTCCCTCTAGGTTTCTTCTTAGGTTCCAGTCTTTCTAGGGAGTTTTTCCTAGCACTGTGCTTCTGCATTGCTTGCTCTGGGGTTTTAGGATCGGTTTCTGTATAAGCACTTTGTGACAACTGCTGATGTAAAAAGGGCTTTACAACTACATTTGATTTGATTGATTGCTCTAGCTCTGCATATAAAAGTGACTCACCTTCAAATATCCCCTGCAAACGGAAACTGTTTTGTTGGTGTGGATATCAGGTTTCCTGTCGCCTCACGGTGGCTGATGAATGAATGACTTTGAATTGACGGTAGAGGTTGAGAAGGCACAGGAACTCAACGCCGAGGGAGGAGAGGACAGGACAAGGTATCACATAGCTACATTAATGAATGTATAAGTCTGATAATTGACATCCATTTCACCCTTTTTTTTTTCAGACTACCCCAGTTTAAAGAGGAGGCCAAAAGTTTTGTGGGCGCCAACATGAAGAAGGTAAACTCAAGTTACGCCTAATGTATGCACGCATGACTAAGTCACTTTGGATAAAAGCGTCTGCTAAATGGCATATTATATTATGTTGAATGTGCCAGTACTGTCTGGCTATGACTCATTTTCTTGCATCGCCCCCTCCCCTTGTCTCCTCCTGGTTCCTGTCATCCCCATGGTGCTGTGAATAATCATTGTACTCTGCAGGGATGGCCACCGCAACAACACCTCTTTTTACTAGGTCTCTACTCCCCCAAGGCCAAAAAGAAAAGAATATATTGTCTTGTGGTGCAGAATTGCAACAGGATACCCAAAATGCCCATCCCTCCCTCCACTTCCACCCATCATGGTGGCATGCTTTTCCCAATATCACCTCCATCTCATCAGATTCTGCATTTGATTATTTTTTTCTTTTCTTAGAGTTCCTCTTTTCAAAATGCACATTTGCTTGTGTTCCCTCCCACAGATCCCATCCTGTATCCTGGACATACATGATCTTATTTGTGCAGAGCAGCCTAAAAACACCAATCAGAGGGGCTTAGAGAGGGTACTTGTTAAAGACACACCTTTCGATTGGCTCTCGGCTAGTGCATTGAAATAGGCCAGGGTAGCATGGCTTTCTGGAGTGAAAGCATGAGGGTGCATTTTAGGGACATTTCAGCATTTTCTTAGAACTTGGGTTTAAAGGAATTTCATATTTCCACAACTCAAATTTCACATCAATTATTAACACCATAAAAATACATTTCATTATTTGGTGGTTAGATTATTATTATTTTTATCCCACTAAACAACTCAATTCAACTTAATTTAAAGGAAAATAAATACAGGTTAATGGTTTCAGGCTGTACGACATATTAAGTTATTTCAGACTGTTCATGTATTCATACCCATTTGTATTTACAGTGCATTCGGAAGGTTTTCAGACCCCTTCCCTTTAACTTATTATTTTTTCCCTCATCAATCTACACACAATACCCCATAATGACAAAGCGAAAACAGGTTTTTTAAAACTGTTTGCAAATGTATTAAAAATAAAAAACAGATTATTTACCTAAGTATTTAGACCCTTTGCTAGGAGACTTGAAATTGAGCTCAGGTGCATCCTGTTTCCATTGATCATCCTTGAGATGTTTCTACAACTTGATTGGAGTCCATCTGTGGTAAATTCAATTGATTGGACATGATTTGGAAAGGCACACACCTGTCTATATAAGGTCCCACAATTGACAGTGTATGTCAGAGCAAAAACCAAGCCATGAGGTCGAAGGAATTGTCCGAAGAGCTCCGAGACAGGATTGTGTCGAGGCACAGATCTGGGGAAGGGTACTAAAAAAATTCTGCAGCATTGAAGGTCCCCAAGAACACCTTGGCCTCCATCATTCTTAAATGGAAGAAGTTTGGAACCACCAAGACTCTTTGTAGAGTTGGCCGCCCAGCCAAACAGAACAATCGGGGGAGAAGGGCCTTGGTCAGGGAGGTGACCAAGAACCCGATGGTCACTCTGACAGTGCTCCAGAGTTCCTCTGTGGAGATGGAAGAACCTTCCAGAAGGACAACCATCTCTGCAGCACTCCACCAATCAGGCCTTTATGGTAGAGTGGCCAGACGGAAGCCGCTCAGTAATAAGCAAATGACAGCCCATTTGGAGTTTGCCAAAAGGCACCTAAAGGACTCTCAGACCATGAGAAACAAGATTCTCTAGTCTGATGAAACCAAGATTGAACTCTTTAGCCTGAATGCCAAGCGTCACGTCTGGAGGAAACATGGCACCATCCCTACGGTGAAGCATGGTGGTGGTGGCAGCATCATGCTGTGGGGATGTTTTTCAGCGGCAGGGACTGGGTGACAAGTCAGGATCAAGGGAAAGATGAACAGAGCAAAGTACAGAGAGATCCTTGATGAAAACCTGCTCCAGAGAGCTCAGGACCTCAGACTGGGGTGAAGGTTCACCTTCCAACAGGACAACGACCCTAAGCACACAGCCAAGACAACCCAGGAGTGGCTTCGACAAGTCTCTGAATGTCCTTGAGTGGCCCAGCCAGAGCCCGGACTTGAACCCGATCGAACATCTCTGGAGAGACCTGAAAATACCTGTGCAGCGACGCTCCCCATCCAACCTGACAGAGCTTGAGAGGAACTGCAGAGAAAAATGGGAGAAACTCCCCAAATACAGGTGTGCCTATCTTGTAGCTGCCAAAGGTGCTTTAACAAAGTACTGAGTAAAGGGTCTGAATACTTATGTAAATGTGATATTTCAGTTTTTTATTTTACATTTCTAAAAAGCTATTTTTGCTTTGTCATTATGGGGTATTGTGTGTAGATTGATGAGGTGGAAGAAAACAATATAATCCATTTTAGAATAAGGCTGTAATGTAACAAAATGTGGAGAAAGTAAAGGGTCTGACTACATTCCGTATGCATCGTGTGGCTTGGATTGGACATTTCCCTGGCATTTCTGATTTTAGCCTCGTACCACAAACAGAAAAAAGAAGAAAAAAAAGTGACACTTTTATTTCACAATCATACCTCTTCAAACCTAGACTCCAAATGTACAAATATTGATGGGCACCAGAAATGTCAGCTTGAAGCAGTTACAATCATACCCCTTCAAACCTAGACTCCAAATGTACAAATACAAATATTGATGGGCACCAGAAATGTCAGCTTGAAGCAGTTACAATCATACCCCTTCAAACCTAGACTCCAAATGTAAAAATACAAATATTGATGGGCACCAGAAATGTCAGCTTGAAGCAGTTAAAATGTGAAGTTTGCCATTCTGTCTGATTGCTTGCCCTTCACTGTGCTGTCTGGTTTGGCCTGCTCATTCTTGAATGTCTCTGTATGGAGCTTGCCTGCCCCCCCCCCCCCAACCCACCACCCCCTTCCCCAAACAAGCCCATCCCAGGGGAGTTTGTATGGTACTCTGTTTGGACCCCCCGCCCCCCATGCATCACTGAGTGAGTCTCTTGTCTGTATGCTGCTGCTGACATGTAGTCCATCACTAATCACGGGCACCTGCCCCCTTCTCTCCTGAGGCTTACAATATATTGTGGAAAAACAAACGAGTGCAGGTAAGGAGATGACTGGTGACTGTTGGAGAATGACCATCCCTCCTCCTTATCCTCCCCTACTCTCCTCTCCTCTCCTCTTGTTCTGAACCCACTAACCACCCCCTTTTGAAGATTCATACACAATGCTAATGGGCCCATTTTCTTTGGGACCAAAATACCATTTGTAGATGTATTTAAAATATTTATTGATTTAGTTAGATTAATTGTAAAGTGTTAGAGTAGACAAACAAACCCATGCCATGCCTTTTTTTTGTGGTTGCTTGAATTAGTTTCTTGTGTTTAATCCTGTGTTTGACTTTTTGTTGAATTCTCTTATTTCACCCTCAAACATATATTGTATCTTTCCGGTGGGGTGACTGCTATGCAGTCTCAGCTGTTGCTAAACAGTATGGAGCATGTGGCTGCATTTGTGTTCGGTGACAGTCTTATGTTTTCAGATGTCTGTCTATGACTTTCTGTTTTAAGACTGTGTTATGGGGCACTGTCCAAATACTGTATGGAAAATAATCCTATTGCCTAAGCCCAACCTGATACTGTCGTCTGTACAATATATGATGATATTACCACACCATCTAGCCAAGGGCACAGCCAGTGGTTGTATGTGCATGTGTGTACTGACTGAGTGTGTTCTACCGGTTTCAGCTGAAGATGCGTGCTGGTGGGATGAGTGAGTCATCAAAGTGGAAGAAGCAGAAACGCTCGCCCCGGCCCCCCCGTCACATGGTTAGAAGCGCCTCGGGCGGGTTGGAGCAGGCCCCTACCACCACCCTCAGCAACAACAACCTCTCTGGTGAGACCCAGTCTTGTATGAAGATGTTCTTTTCCCCCCACATTTTATTGGTTTTTCAGACAGTGTTAGAAACAAGATCAGGGGGATAGACTTAGGATGTAAATTCTGATGTAGCTAACACTGTGTGTTTGTACCAGGTGGTGTCCCGTTCATCGAGCAGGGTAGTTTGTCTGTCTCAGACAGCGTGGCCTCCTCCATGTCCAGCCCCACAGACAGCGGCCTGGACACCTGCTCCAAGACCACCTCCAGAGAGGACCTGACAGACCTGGACCAGAGCAGCTCTGCTGACACCACCCCTTCCACAGAGCCTGGACGCCTGGACACTCAGGTGGGGGGGGGGAGCACTGGAATCAGCTATGTTATCTGTCACTTTGTGCATATTTCTACTTTGTTAGTGCTCATCAATGTTCATACGCTGATGTTTCTGTTTCCCCTGCCAGTCTGAGGGGAGGCAGGTGGAGCGTGCCAAGTCAGCCTCGGTGGAGTCCATTCCTGAGGTCCTAGAGGACGGAGACTCTGTGACGGAGCAGTCGGACTCAGCCTCATTACATGACATGGACTACGTCAACCCCAGAGGAGTCCGCTTCACACCACAGCAAACACAGAGAGACGGTGAGGATGGTGAGCCCTCTTACCACCACCAGCATTCAGTTTGGGTTTCACCCTGTTCCACTTCACGTCTCACCATGTGTGTCTCCTTATGTCTCTCCTCATGTCTGTTCATGTCTCAACACGTCTCACAACTTGTCTCTGCGTGTCTCCTTTTATATCCCATGTCTCACCCCAACTGATGTCTCACCCAAATTATGCCTTTGAATCCTCTCCTAACTGTCATGTTGTCATTTCCAAACCTCCCAGGTGCGGCTCTCGTCCCCTACGGCCTGCCCTGTCTGCGGGAGCTCTTCCGCTTCCTCATCTCGCTGACCAACCCCCATGACCGCCACAACACGGAAGCCATGATGCACATGGGCCTGCAGCTGCTGACCGTGGCTCTGGAGGCGGCCCACATAGCCCCCTACCAGTCACTGCTGGGCCTGGTCAAAGACGAGCTTTGCAGACACCTCTTCCAGGTACTGTACACCACAAGCTTGTTCAGGAGGGGAACCTTCTATTGCGTCTGTTCAACACAATACAACATAACTAACATGTTTTCTATTTCAGTTGCTAAGTGTGGACCGTATGAACCTGTATGCCGCCTCCATACGAGCGTGCTTCTTGCTCTTTGAGAGCATGCGAGGACATTTGAAGTTTCAGCTTGAGGTACTTGGAGTGTTTATTTTCTTTGCTTTCGATATTGTCACACACTGACTAGTTTGACACAACCACACACAAGCTGAGTCATGGTAAAACAACCAACTAAACAGAGTGACCAACTTAACCACCTTCTCTCTGTCTGTAGATGTATCTGAAGAAGCTGATGGACATCATCACTTCAGAGAACATGAAGATGCCCTATGAGATTAAGGAGATGGCCCTGGAGGCCCTGGTGCAGCTCTTGAGGATCCCCAGCTTCGTCACCGAGCTCTACATCAACCACGACTGTGACTTCTACTGCTCCAATCTGTTTGAAGACCTCACCAAGCTGCTCTCCAAGGTGGGAACTGACGACGCCTGTTCTCTGGCCACACTCACACTCACTTGATGATCACTCTGGAGATCTTTAGGGTTTTATTTACTTTCTAAAGTCTGCATTAGAAGAGTGTCCACTGTCCCGTTCATTTATTTCCATTTGATGCATACCATAATGCTCCATGCTTTTAATTTTCAGGGTAACATTGTTCTCTTTTGTTGACATATGGTGTGCTTGTATCATGTTGTCTTGCAGAATGCCTTCCCTGTGTCCGGACAGCTCTACACAACCCACCTCCTCTCACTAGAGGCCCTACTGACGGTGATTGACAGCACTGAGGCCCACTGCCAGGCCAAGGTGCTCAACAGCACCGCTCAGCAGGACCAATCAGCAGAAACTGTGTTAGCAGAAGGGGAGGGCTCAACCAATGACCGTACAGACACAACCACGGGTATGCAGATTTCTCTCATAAACTTGGTATACTTTCTGCTTTGATGGTCTCATACTATAATGGGCTTTGTCCATCATTTACATTGACAATGGTTGTATCAGATGTGTATAGAGGGGTATTCATTAATGTTTTTCTCATGTGGTTGTAGATGCGAGCAGGCAGGTGAACAGTGCCAATGGTCAGAATGTTCCAGAGGCTGACAGCGTGCCCCTACCACCTACCAGTGGGCACCTGATGGCAGAGAAGATGAGACTGGGCAGACAAGACCAGGAGGAGACAGAACCAGGTAGGTTTGCTTTTACTAACCAGTGGCCAGGTCTCCTCAAGCACTGGGTTAGCATTCAGGTTCATAGACATGAATGAAATTGAATTAAAAGTGAAAGTTGTATTTTTATTTTAGCTGAGAAGAAAGAACCGAAAAAGCCACAACGCTTCTCGTCTTGTTTACCTGATTCTCAAGAGCTGTTGGACATCAGAAGTAAAAAGAAGGTATGTTTAAAAAAGGATGTGTGTGTATGGATGTATGTATGTATGTGTGTATACAGTGGGGAGAACAAGTATTTGATACACTGCCGATTTTGCAGGTTTTCCTACTTACAAAGCATGTAGAGGTCTGTAATTTTTATCATAGGTACACTTAAACTGTGAGAGACGGAATCTAAAACAAAAAATCAAGAAAATCACATTGTATGATTTTTAAGTAATTCATTTGCATTTTATTGCATGACATAAGTATTTGATACATCAGAAAAGCAGAACTTAATATTTGGAACAGAAACCTTTGTTTGCAATTACAGAGATCATACGTTTCCTGTAGGTCTTGACCAGGTTTGCACACACAGCAGCAGGGATATTGGCCCACTCCTCCATACAGACCTTCTCCAGATCCTTCAGGTTTCGGGGCTGTCGCTGGGCAATACAGACTTTCAGCTCCCTCCAAAGATTTTCTATTGGGTTCAGGTCTGGAGACTGGCTAGGCCACTCCAGGACCTTGAGATGCTTCTTACGGACCCACTCCTTAGTTGCCCTGGCTGTGTGTTTCGGGTCGTTGTCATGCTGGAAGACCCAGCCACGACCCATCTTCAATGCTCTTACTGAGGGAATGAGGTTGTTGGCCAAGATCTCGCGATACATGGCCCCATCCATCCTCCCCTCAATACGGTGCAGTCGTCCTGTCCCCTTTGCAGAAAAGTATCCCCAAAGAATGATGTTTCCACCTCCATGCTTCACGGTTGGGATGGTGTTCTTGGGGTTGTACTCATCCTTCTTCTTCCTCCAAACACGGCGAGTGGAGTTTAGACCAAAAAGCTATATTTTTGTCTCATCAGACCACATGACCTTCTCCCATTCCTCCTCTGGATCATCCAGATGGTCATTGGCAAACTTCAGACGGGCCTGGACATGCGCTGGTTTGAGCAGGGGGACCTTGCGTGCGCTGCAGGATTTTAATCCATGACGGCGTAGTGTGTTACTAATGGTTTTCTTTGAGACTGTGGTCCCAGCTCTCTTCAGGTCATTGACCAGGTCCTGCCGTGTAGTTCTGGGCTGATCCCTCACCTTCCTCATGATCATTGATGCCCCACGAGGTGAGATCTTGCATGGAGCCCCAGACCGAGGGTGATTGACCGTCATCTTGAACTTCTTCCATTTTCTAATAATTGCGCCAACAGTTGTTGCCTTCTCACCAAGCTGCTTGCCTATTGTCCTGTAGCCCATCCCAGCCTTGTGCAGGTCTACAATTGTATCCCTGATGTCCTTACACAGCTCTCTGGTCTTGGCCATTGTGGAGAGGTTGGAGTCTGTTTGATTGAGTGTGTGGACAGGTGTCTTTTATACAGGTAACGAGTTCAAACAGGTGCAGTTAATACAGGTAATGAGTGGAGAACAGGAGGGCTTCTTAAAGAAAAACTAACAGGTCTGTGAGAGCCGGAATTCTTACTGGTTGGTAGGTGATCAAATACTTATGTCATGCAATAAAATGCTAATTAATTACTTAAAAATCATACAATGTGTGAAGGTCTGTATGGAGGAGTGGGCCAAAATCCCTGCTGCAGTGTGTGCAAACCTGGTCAAGACCTACAGGAAACATATGATCTCTGTAATTGCAAACAAAGGTTTCTGTACCAAATATTAAGTTCTGTTTTTCTGATGTATCAAATACTTACGTCATGCAATAAAATGCAAATTAATTACTTAAAAATCATACAATTTGATTTTCGGGATTTTTGTTTTAGATTCCGTCTCTCACAGTTGAAGTGTACCTATGATAAAAATTACAGACCTCTACATGCTTTGTAAGTAGGAAAACCTGCAAAATCGGCAGTGTATCAAATACTTGTTCTCCCCACTGTATTTATTTCATAAACAAAGTTATGCAACACCCAATTCCCCTGTGTGAAAAAGTAATTGCCCCCTTACACTCAATAACTGGTTGTGCCACCTTTAGAATGCAGTGTTTGGTTTTCGCCAGGCATAATGGGACCCATCTCGTCCAAAATGTTATACTTTTGAATCATATGTCCATAAAACGTTCTTCCAAGAGTCTTTATGATCATCCAGGTGATCAAGCATGGTGGTGGTGGTGTGATGGTTTGGGGATGCTTTGCTGCCTCAGGACCTGGACGACTTGCCTTAATAGAAGGAACCATGAATTCTGCTCTGTATCAGAGAATTCTACAGAGAGAATGCCAGACCATCCGTCTGTGAGCTGAAGCTGAAGCGCAGCTGGGTCATGCAGCAAGACAATGATCCAAAACACACAATCAAGTCTACATGAAAATTGCTAAAAAGCAACAAATTGAAAGTTTTGGAATGGCCTAGTCAAAGTCCAGACCTAATCCCAATTGAGATGTTGTGGCAGGACTTGAAACGAGCAGTTCATGCTTGAAATCCCACACGTCACTGAGTTAACGTAGTTCTGCATGGAAGAGTGGGCCAAAATACCTCCACAGCGACGTGAGAGACTGATCAACAACTACAGGAAGCATTTATTTGGAGTCATTGCAGCTAAAGGTGGCACAACCAGTTATTGAGTGTAAGGGGGCAATTACTTTTTCACACAGGGGAATTGGGTGTTGCATAACTTTGTTTATGAAATAAATGAAATAAATATGTAATTGTTGTGTTATTTGTCCACTTATGTTCCCTTTATCTAATATTAGGTTTTGGTTGAAGATCTGATAACATTCAGTATCACAAATATGCAAAAGTAGAGAAAATTAGAAAGGGGGCAAATACTTTTTCATAGCACGGTATATATGTGTGTGTGTGTATATATATATGGGGGATTGGAAGTGATGCAGACAATTACATTGATGGAAGTTACAATCTATCTGAAATATTAAAGCTGATCTACCCCCTAAAAAAAAAAAAAAAGTATGTTTTATGATTTTGTTGTTTATCTCTTTTAAAGAACTTATGCATGGCCGTTAATGATGTTTTCACACGTACTGTATCTCAGATTTTGACATAAATCATGCATTGACACCAATGGTGTTTGAGTCAGTTTGTGGATCTCAAGTTGTGATTCGATCTGCTTTTTGTCGCAAAGATAAAATGATAGTATTTATATTGTATGATTACAGCTGCTGAACAGCGGCACAGAACAGTTCAACCAGAAGCCTAAGAAGGGCATCCAGTTCCTGCAGGAGAAGGGTCTGCTCAGCAGCCCCATGGACAACAACGAGGTGGCCCAGTGGCTCCGGGAGAACCCCCGCCTCGACAAGAAGCAGATCGGAGAGTTCATCAGTGACCGCAAACACATGGAGCTACTGGACAGCTTCGTCAAGTAGGAGCCCAGTCTTCTTATTATTACCGGGCAGCGTGATGTACAACCAGTTGGATCTTCTCCTTAATTTAATTGTACTGAAGCTTGGCTCCTTCAGTTGCTAGTGAAGCAATGAATAGTGAAGCAGTGACGTTTATTTACTTGAACCCTAGGAGTTGTCTTTAATCCCTACCAATTATAAAATGCAGTACACAAATGTATATGTACAGTTGAGTAAAAAGACCTGACAGGAAATGTAAGAATATACTTCAAAATATACATATTAGTGAATTATACTCATTCTCACGTGCAGCACGTTCACCTTCCGAGGGCTGCGTATTGACGAGGCGCTGCGTCTGTATCTGGAGGCCTTCAGGCTGCCAGGAGAGGCTCCGGTCATCCATAGACTTTTGGAAACCTTCACAGACACCTGGCATGTAAGTCAGCTGCCTTAACCCCTTGGAAGTCTCTCTCTTTTTTCCTCTCACACACACACATGCACAGGGGCACACGGAGGGACACACTTCTTCCATTAGCGCAAGGCAATCCTTGCTACCAACTGTCCCTATCATCATGTAATTACGTCCAGTGGAACTGTGACCCTGATCTGAATCAAGGACAGGGACATTAGTCACTCAGGTAATTAGGGTAAGAGGAAAATGTTGCTGTAAGGCTGACATAACAGAGCTGGCCGGTCTATCGAGGGCAGGGGAACAAAACCAGCGGGGCCACTGGCTGCTCCTTAAATAACCGGAGAGGGTCGTCCTCGTGACCTGGAAAATATTTATAGTAATGTCTTTTCATAGTCTCCCTCTCCACACACAATCGCCTTGAATGAGTTCACAGATATTCTTACTGCACACACACGTGTCTTTTTCCCACTATTGAGCAGTCGAGACTGCACTTTCAGCAGAACAAATATAGACGTTTTGATGTTAAGCCAAAGGTAGTTATATTGATGTGTGTATCTGGAACTCAGCTGTTGACGTGTATAAATCAAATCAAATTTTATTTGTCACATGCGCCAAATACAACAGGTGTAGACTTTACCGTAAAATGCTTACTTACAAGCCCTTAACCAACAATGCAGTTTTAAGAAAAATAAGAGGTAAGAAAATATTTACTAAATAAACTAAAGTTAAAAAAAATACAATAAAAAAAGTTACAATAAAATAACAATAATGAAGCTATATACGGCGGGGTACCAGTACCAAGTCAGTGTGCGGGGGTACAGGTTAGTCGAGGTAATTGACGTAATATGTACATGTAGGTAGGGGTAAAGTGACTATGCATAGATAATAAACAGAGCCGGCCTGTCTATTGAGGGCAGGCGGACAAAACCAGCGGGGCCACTGGCTGTTCCTTAATTAACTGGAGAGGGTCGTCCTCGTGACCTGGAAAATATTTCTATGGACAGGGTTATATTAGTGTGTCTTTCCCTGTGTGTGTAGAAAGTGAACGGCTCTCCCTTCATGACCAACGACGCAGGCTTCGCCTTGGCCTACGCTGTCATCATGCTCAACACGGACCAGCACAACAACAACGTACGCAAGCAGAACATCCCCATGACAATTGAGGTAAACACACACAATTTATTTACCATGAAAACTCACTCAAAAAAGACGCATCACTATTGTTATACTTAAATATATTTTATTGATATAAAATAAACTAAGTTAATATTCCTACCAATTTAAGTTTTCTACTACTACAAAACAATCTTATCCGATCTTATTTTGTCTTAAGTTAACATTTTCAGAAATGCACCTATAACCCACGTTTTTTATTTTTTAACCCACATATGTTAGATATGATTTTAATCACCTCTTATGAGAGCTTTTGTGCCATGCAGCAATGGGTTTCACCAGAGACCCTGTTAAGACCCCTTTAGACACCCTACATTAGTATGTTGTGCTGGTTCTTTCAGACCCTCTGATCTGAAAAAAGCAGACCTCCAGTAACAGCTGTGCCCAGTGGTGGTCTATGGGATGAGGTCATCCTGCTTAGTCAGGGGTGGGAGAAGTGAGGTGGGGGAGGATTGGAGGGGTGGGAGCAGTGGAGGGGGGAGAGGATGGGAGGAGGCGTCCTGGCTAACTCTCTCTGTGTGAGTGACAGAGCCTGAAGACTAAACACAAGTCCCATGGGCAGGGTTCTGAAGAGGGCGTGGGTGGGCCACTCTCACACACACACAAGACATACCCGATCCTCAGTTGCCATTTGGAATTTTAAGCTGCAATGAGCGCAACTGATTTTGTGACCTTAGATTATTTTTTTTTCGAGGGCAATGAAACTCCTACTGTTTACTGACTGTCTGCACAGTATATAACAATACTGTTATTACGGATGAAAGTTCTTACGATGTGACCTCTCCAAGTGTCATACAAATGCCATGATACGATACTCTGTGAGACTCAGCGCATCATGGCAATAGTCGAAGATGCTATTGCTCTGAATTATGCTATCAGCTAACGCATAGCGCAACATTGTAGCTCTCCAACAAATATGTCGGTGTGGAACAGCTCTGCTCTCTCTGGCTGTCAGTCCCATGATTACTTGGCAGGCATCACGGCCAGCTGCTTTGTGTCTGTGGCGGCTATTGTTACCGTCGTCTGCTCCATGCCGCCCCTGAGCCCTCGCTGTGTTTATTTCTCTGTCTGTCCATCCCGCTGCAAAGCATCTCGTGTTTCCCGTCTGGTTTACCTGCCATTAGCCTAAGCACTCAGCCAACCAGGAGCCTTGATTCGATCAGTCAGCACACAGAGGATGTGTTTATTTGCTGTGGCTCTTGGCCTCAATCCTGTTTGACTAACACCACACCTAACCGTATTAAGTGACACATACGTTGGTAAAGCTTTGACCCCCACCCCCCTAATTGTTGGATGCTCAATTAGCAAGAGCATTGCATGCCAAAGCATTGGATACCAGAGCCAGGCTAGCTGGCAGAGCCCCGCAATGATTGATGTGTTGATGGTGCCATGATTCCCATATTGTCAGTGTTAGCTGTCTTTCTTTTTTCCCCTTCATGTAGCAATTCAAGAAGAATCTGAAGGGTGTGAATGGAAATACAGACTTCGATCAGGATATGCTGGAGGACATCTACAATGCAATCAAGTAAGCCATAGTCTTATGTAGATCTTATATAGAAATGTTTGTGACGTACACACACAAGCTGAAGGAAATCAATCTTATTTCAAGAGGATGTACTTATTTGTTTCAGCGTTGGCGCTTTGACAGTAAGTTATGTCTGGTGTTTTTTCCATGTCAACCGACCCACCCTAGATGATCAAAGTTGCCTTAGCATTCATGGTATTCTCTGTCGTGTAGGAATGACGAGATAGTGATGCCAGACGAGCAGTCCGGCCTGGTCAAGGAGAACTATGTATGGAGCGTGCTGCTCCACCGGGGGGCCACCTCCGAGGGGGTCTTCCTCCATGTGCCCGCCGGCAGCTACGACCACGACCTGTTCACCATGACCTGGGGGCCCACCATCGCAGCCCTCTCCTACGTCTTCGACAAGAGCCTGGACGACACAATCATCCAGAAGGCTATCGCTGGCTTCAGGTACACTAGGCCTGCTCAGATGGTTCTGGGCCCAGCACTGTGGCTCTGAGGAGATGCTGAAGAAGCGTCCCTTGGGGAAAGCAATGAATGAGAGCGAGTCTTGATTATAATCCATTTCTCTCTCCTTTTAGGAAATGTGCCATGATATCAGCTCATTATGGATTCAGTGACGTTTTTGATAATTTGATCATCTCCCTCTGCAAGTTTACAACACTCAGCAGTGAGGTAAGTGCTTAATTCCAAATGTGGGAACCTTCGCATTTCATCTAGTGCACTAGAGTATTCTAACGTGTTCCACTGGATGGTTTCAATACAGTCGGTGGAGAACCTGCCCACGGTGTTTGGGAGTAACGGGAAGGCCCAGATAGCGGCGAAGACGGTATTCCACCTGGCCCACCGGCACGGTGACATCCTGAGGGAGGGCTGGAAGAACATCATGGACTCCATGCTGCAGCTGTTCAGAGCTGAGCTGCTGCCCAAGGCCATGGTGGAGGTCAGAACTGCTCCTTTATTACTGACAATGGTCATGGACATGGATTTACCTGACCTTTCTGTGATGTAACCAGGAAAGGCTGAGCATTGCTTTCTGGTCAGGTTACATGGTCAGAAAAAAACGAATGGCCTCAATCATGTTTATGAGTACCTTTGGAACATTCAAACCTTCCATTCATTTTGCTGAATGAAATGGTTCTCTTTTTGAATTTGGAAGACTGCAGACTCTTCTGTAAGACATTATGGGTGTTATACTGCCACCTGCTGGTATTAAACCAGACATAACTTCCTTCTTGAATATCTGTGGCGTCTGTATTCTTATGTCTATTTAGGTGGAGGATTTTGTGGAGCCAAATGGAACGATTTCCCTTCAAAGAGAAGAGACACCGTCAAATCGGTAAAAGTCACCTTAACATCATGTCACGCCATCTGTTTCGCTCAAATACCAGGCTGAGCTCTTTCACTTGTAAAAACTCTGGGAGTTTTTCTGACATTTAAATCCAGTTCCATGTTGTAAAATGGGTGGGTATCATTAAACATTACATTTGTTTTTAAAGTGTTTGACATCTCTATGTCTTCCTCCCTCTCTCCCAGGGGTGAGTCTGCGGTGTTGAGCTTTGTGAACTGGCTGACTCTGAGTGGAGCGGAGCAGTCTGGTCAACGTGGGCCCTCTACTGAGAACCAGGAGGCCAAGCAGGCAGCCATGTTCTGTATCAAGGTACCAGAACTACAACACCCATCACCCCTTAGCCCACTGCTTTCTCTCTATCACACTCATCCAAATTGCCTCTGGTGATAAGTTCATATAGTGCAGTTTTTTATTAATTCATTTTTGGGGGGTTTTGTCTCTCCCCCTCCAGCAATGTGACCCAGAGAAGCTGATCACAGAGAGTAAATTCCTGCAGCTGGAGTCTCTACAGGAGCTGATGAAGGTAATCATAACATTACAAGCAAATATTGTCTATGCATTGTCTGAATATTTAATTCCTAAAATGCAGGAAGTATAAAACGTTCTAGTATTGTTTTCTAAGAGCTTTTTCTTGTGGACAGGCTCTGATCTCAGTCATACCTGATGAGGAGACGTATGATGAGGAGGATGCTGCATTCTGCCTGGAGATGCTGCTACGCATAGTCATGGAGAACAGGTACACCCAGAGGGAAGAAAGGGTGGAATGTTTGCTTTGAGTCAGGGCCAGTGTGTTTTGTCCCACGTCCATTAGGAATGACATCAGTCAAATCAGCTGTTTCAACATCAGGCTTTGTTATGCTATCGAGTCCTTATCATTTGTGTGTTTTTCTGTGTGTGTGTGTATGTTTAGGGACCGCGTGTCGTGTGTATGGCAGACGGTGCGGGATCACCTGTGCCACCTGTGTGTCCAGGCTACAGAGAGCTGCTTCCTGGTGGAGAGGGCCGTGGTGGGCCTCATCAGACTGGCCATCCGCCTGCTGCGCAGAGAGGACATCAGCTCCCAGGTACACACACACGAAAGGGGAAACCAAACTATTTAGGAGTGCATGATTGCATTAATGCATGTTTAATGCTGTCAAACAGATAATGTAGAAATGACGCAGGATTTCTGACTAGTGATAGCACTGAGCGATTGGATGATTGGACTGTTGATCCAATGAGTCTTACATCTGATGGACACACACACACACACAGCTTTGTTAGGTCAATGTCCTTTAGCCATTGCAGTCTGTCTTATCTTAACAGCAATTATAAAGGAGGCTTCAATTCGTTGTATATCAAGTCACAAAGGATGTTTCATGTGATAGTAGTTTGCTGGTATCAGATGTTTCTCTCAATTTTTGTATTTGCTCTGGCATAAAGGCACACAATGAACTACCTTGGAGTATTCTTACAGCCTGTGTTGATCAGTGGGACAATTTAATTATCCATGTTTTTACTGGTCTAATCTTTTTTCCGAAGAGGGACCTGGTTTCTTGATGACCTGGCCTGTAACCTCAATAGTGCTTATTATGTGACTGTCCTATTGACCTTGAACTGCTATATCATTACAGTTTCTCTTGATTGCTTAAACACGTTTCTCAGCAATATAAAAATAAAATGGAATGTGATCTACTTTATAACCCATTGAAAACCAAACAACTCACCAGTAAACACTTTCATGTCTATTTATGGACTAATTATGCAAAGGTAGTTTACAGGTTGGTGGTAAAAATATACTATTATGCGAGTTATTGTTATTTAACGTGAAAAAAATACATAACACAATTCAAATCAAATGTTTGTCACTTGCTTCGTAAACGACAGGTATAGACTAACAGTGAAATGCTGTTTGAATGCACAGAGATACCGTGACGAGATCCTGAGGCCCATTGTCGTGCCATTCATCCGCCGCCATCACCTCATGTTTCAGTATGATAATGCACAGCCCCATGTTGTAAGGATCTGTACACCATTCCTGGAAGCTGAAAATGTCCCAGTTCTTCCATGACCTGCATACTCACCAGATATGTCACCCATTGAGCATGTTAGGGATGCTCTGGATCGATGTGTACGACAGCGTGTTCCAGTTCGCACAGCCATTGAAGAGGAGTGGGACAATTCACATTTTGTCCTGAATACAAAGTGTTATGTTGGGGGTAAATTCAATACAACACATTACTGAGTACCACTCTCCATATTTCCAAGCATGGTGGTGGCTGCATCATGTTATGGGTATGCTTGTAATCTTTAAGGACTGGGGTGTTTTTTAGGATAAAAAATAAACTGGATGGAGCTAAGCACAGGCAAATTCCTAGAGGAAAACCTGGTTCAGTCTGCTTTCCACCGGACACTGGGAGATTAATTCACCTTTCAGCAGGACAATAACCTAAAACATAAGGCCAAATGTATGTGTCCAGTGTGTGTGCTTAGTCAAAAAGTGTTAGTGCAAAAATTGTCAATGCAGGTAGTTTACCAAATAGCTACCCAGACTATTTAGTAGTCTTATGGCTTGTGGTTAGAAGTTGTTCAGGAGCCTTTTGGTCCCAGCGCTCCAGTACTGTTTGCCGTGTGGTAGCAGAGAGAACAGTCTATGACTTGGGCCTTCCTCTGACATCGCCTGGAATAGAGGTCCAATTGATTTGTGTCTTATGTAGAGCGTTGTCAACTGTTTAGTAAAAAGTGTCTTGTGATTCAGAGTTGAGTCTTATGTTTTGCAAGAAAGTGTTCAGCATTTGCATTTAGTGTGAAGAGGATGAGAAATTACTAACTGTTGTGCAAAAGAGCTGCTGCTACTCTCTGTTTATTATTTATTCACTTTAACTACCCACTTGTACATATTACCTCAATTACCTCGACCAACCTGTGCCCCCGCACATTGACTCTGTACCGGTACCCCCTGTATATAGCCTCCCTACTGTTATTTTACTGCTGCTCTTTAATTATTTGTTATTTGTTATTTTTTACTTATTTATTTTTTTACTTAACACTTATTTTTCTTAACTGCATTGTTGGTTAAGGGCTTGTAAGTAAGCATGTCACTGTAAGGTCTACACCTGTTGTATTCGGCGCATGTGGCAAATAACATTTGATTTGATTTGAAGAGGTTATTGTTTTGGCCATGTGGATCCCAGTTTCCTTCAGTGTTCAAGCAATCAAGAAACTATCTTTTGCTCCCATTTCTCCTATAAGGCCTTTAATTGTCTTTCAATCTTATCTCTAACCCAGATGGACATTGTTACTGCCAACTAATAGTGTATTCTTCTTCCTTTTCTGTGAGCTGGGGCTATCAGGACAAACATGTTATGCTTCCCCACAACGTACTTGTCACAAATCCCACATTTGTTCCTCTAATTTTCTTGTCCTTTCAAATGTGCAGTGAGACCTAGCAGAATCAAATCAAAATCAAATACAATTTTATTTGCCACATGCGCCGAATACAACAGGTGTAGACATTACAGTGAAATGCTTACTTACAAACCAACAATGCAGTTTAAGAAAAAAATTGAAATAGCAAATAATTAAAGAGCAGCAGTAAAATAAAATAACAGTAGGGAGGTTATATACAGGGGGTACCGGTTAGTCGAGGTAATTGAGGTAATATGTACATTTGGGTAGAGTTAAAGTGACTATGCATAAATGATCAACAGAGTAGCAGCAGCGTAAAAGAGGGGGTTGGGGTGGGGATGGGGAGCAATGCAAATAGTCCGGGTAGCCATGATTAGCTGTTCAGGAGTCTTATGGCTTGGGGGTAGAAGTTGTTAAGAAGCCTTTTGGACCTAGACTTGGCACTCCGGTACCGCTTGCCGTGCGGTAGCAGAGAGAACAGTCTATGACTAGGGTGGCTGGAGTCTTTGACAATTTTGAGGGCCTTCCTCTGACACCGCCTGGTATAGAGGTCCTGGATGGCAGGAAGCTTGGCCCCAGTGATGTACTGGGCCGTACGCACTACCCTCTGTAGTGCCTTGCGGTCGGAGGCCAAGCAGTTGCCATACCAGGCGGTGATGCAACCAGTCAGGATGCTCTCGATGGTGCAGCTGTATAATTTTTTGAGGATCTGAGGACCCATGCCAAATATTTTCAGTCTCCTGAGGGGGAATAGGCTTTGTCGTGCCCTCTTCACGACTGTCTTGGTGTGTTTGGACCATGATAGTTTTTTGGTGATGTGGACACCAAGGAACTTGAAGCTCTAAACCTGTTCCACTACAGCCCCGTCGATGAGAATGGGGGCGTGCTCAGTCCTCTTTTTTTCCCTGTAGTCCACGATCATCTCCTTTGTCTTGATCACGTTGAGGAAGAGGTTGTTATCCTGGCACCACACGGCCAAGTCTCTGACCTCCTCCCTAAAGGCTGTCTCATCATTGTCGGTGATCAGGCTACCACTGTTGTGTCGTCGGCAAACTTAATGATGGTGTTGGAGTCGTGCCTGGCCATTCAGTCATGGGTGAACAGGGAGTACAGGAGGGGACTGAGCACGCACCCCTGAGGGGCCCCCGTGTTGAGGATCAGCGTGGCAGATGTGTTGTTACCTACCCTTGTCACCTTGGGGATGCCCGTCAGGAAGTCCAGGATCCAGTTGCAGAGGGAGGTGTTTAGTCCCAGGGTCCTGAGCTTTGTGATGAGCTTTGAGGGCACTATGGTGTTGAACGCTGAGCTGTAGTCAATGAATAGCATTCTCACGTAGGTGTTCCTCTTGTTCAGGTGGGAAAGGGCAGTGTGGAGTGCAATAGAGATTGCATCATCTATGGATATGTTGGGGCGGTATGCAAATTGGAGTGGGTCTAGGGTTTCTGGGATAATGGTGTTGATGTGAGCCATGACCAGCCTTTCAAAGCACTTCATGGCTACAGACGTGAGTGCTACGGGTTGGTAGTCATTTAGGCAGGTTATCTTAGTGTTCTTGGGCACAGGGACTATGGTGGTCTGCTTGAAACATGTTGGTATTACAGACTCTGTCAGGGATATGTTGAAAATGTCAGTGAAGACACTTGCCAGTTGGTCAGCGCATGCTCGGAGTACACGTCCTGGTAATCCGTCTGGCCCTGCGGCCTTGTGAATGTTGACCTGCTTAAAAGTCTTACTCACATCGGCTACAGAGAGCTTGATCATATAGTCATCCGGAACAGCTGATGGTCTAATGCATGCTTCAGTGTTGCTTGCCTTGAAGCGAGCATTTATTTTATTTTATTTTTTTGGTCATTTAGCAGACGTTCTTTTCCAGAGCAACTTACAGGAGCAATTAGGGTTAAGTGCCTTGCTCAAGGGCACATCGACAGATTTTTCACCTAGTCTGCTCGGGGATTAGAACCAGCGACCTTTCGGTTACTGGCACAACGCCCTTTACCACTAAGCTACCTGCCGGAAGTGATTTAGCTCGTCTGGTAGGCTTGGGCAGCTTGCGGCTGTGCTTCCCTTTGTGGTCTGTAATAGGTTTCAAGCCCTGCCACATCTGACGAGTGTCAGAGCCGGTGTAGTACGATTCAATCTTAGTCCTGTATTGACTCTTTGCCTGTTTTATGGTTTGTTGGTGGGCATAGCGGAATTTCTTATAAGCGTCCGGGTTAGAGTCCCGCTCCTTGAAAGCGGCAGCTCTACCCTTTACCTCAGTGCGGATGTTGCCTGTAATCCATGGCTTCTGGTTGGGGTACGTACGGTCACTGTGGGGATGACGTAATCTATGCACTTATTGATGAAGCCAGTGACTGATGTGGTGTACTCCTCAATGCTATCGGAAGAATCCCGGAACATATTCCAGTCTGTGCTAGCAAAACAGTCCTGTAGCTTAGCATCTGCGTCATCTGACCACTTCCGTATTAACCGAGTCACTGGTGCTTCCTGCTTTAGTTTTTGCTTATAAGCAGGAATCAGGAGGATAAAGTTATTGTCAGATTTGCCAAATGGAGGTAGAGGCAGAGCTTTGTGTGTGGAGTAAAGGTGGTCTAGAGTTTTTCTCCCCTCTGGTTGCACATATAACATGCTGGTAGAAATGAGGTAGAACGGATTAAAGTTTCCCTGCATTAAAGTCCCTGGCCACTAGGAGCGCTGCCTCTGGATGAGCGTTTTCCTGTTTACTTATGGCCTTATACAGCTCATGGAGTGCAATCTTAGTGCCTGCATCGGTTTGTGGTGGTAAATAGACAGCTACGAAAAATATAGATGATAAACTCTCTTGGTAAATAGTGTGGTCTACAGCGTATCATGAGATTCTCTACCTCAGGCGAGCAAAACCTCGAGACTTCCTTAGTATTAGATTTTATGCACCAGCTGTTGTTTACAAATATACACAGACCGCCACCCCTTGTCTTACCGGAGTCAGCCGTTCTATCCTGCAGATGTAGCGTATATCCTGTCAGCTGTATGTTGTCCATGTCGTCGTTCAGCCATGACTCTGTGAAACATAAGATATTACAGTTTTTAACGTTCCGTTGGTAGGATAATCGTAATCTTAGGTCGTCTGATTTATTCTCAAATGATTGAACATGGGCTAATAGGATTGATGGAAGAGGCAGTTTACTCGCTCGCCGTCGGATCCTTACAAGGCACCCCGACCTACGTCCACGATATCTCTGTCTCTTTCTCATGTGAATGACGGGGATTTGGGCCTTGTCAGGTGTCTGTAGGATATCCTTTGCGTCCGACTCGTTGAAGAAAAAATCTTTGTCCAATACGAGGTGAGTAATTGCTGTCCTGATATCCAGAAGCTCTTTTTGGTCATAAGAGACGGTGGCAGAAACATTATGTACAGAAAAAATTACAAATAACGGGAAAAAACACACATAATAGTACAATTGGTTAGAGGACGGTAAAACGGCTGCCATCTTCTTCGGCGCCATTCAATGCAGCTTACTGAGACCTAGACCTGTCAGGATATCAATAGAACTTTGTTTATAGGGAACATACTTCAATTCCCTAATCGGTGAGATCGAGGTCACAGCCAGTTCAAGCTGTTGGTCTTATACAATGACCGCGTCCCCTTAACCCCTCTGCAACCCCATCTCTAGGTGCTGCTGTCCCTGCATCTCCTGCTGATGATGAAACCACACGTCCTGGCCCGGGTTAGCCGGGAGGTGGCCTATGGCCTCCATGAGCTGCTCAAGACCAATGCTGCCAACATCCACTGCACAGACGACTGGTTCACCCTTTTCTCCCTAATCGAGTGCATCGGGGCAGGGATCAAACCCCCTGCCTCCTTCCAGGTCACCTCCACTAGCCCAGACATCGACACAGGTCAGCCTCTTACACACACACACACACACACATTTACACACACACACACACACACACACACACAATCACGTGGAATGGTAGGCTACTTTGTTGGTCTTAGCTACTGAGAAATCGTATAATCTCCTAGTTTATGGTCAATTGTATTTACTTTATACGAACAGCTCAGCTGTGATATTACGAGGCACACATCCACACTCTTTAAGTGGTGCGTTTGTTTGTCTGTTAAACTGTTGTTTTCATGTCCCGTTTCCACCTTTGTTCCAGGTGCCCAGTCGGACAGTGAGCTGTCGTTCCACCACCCTAGTGAGGTGAGTCTGGACCGGGGGTACACCTCAGACTCAGAGGTCTACACGGAGCACGGAAAGTCCAGGATGCCCCGCTCTGTCACTGACGTGGACGTGGCCAGCAGCGGATGGCTGGTGTTGAGAGCCCCACCCCCCCGACACACACACACACACACGTCCACGTCACCTGCACACACGTTTTTTTGAGTGCTCATACGATCAATTCAAGATATCTTCATAGCGTTGATACTATTTTACACTGCTTATTGTGGAAGGCCCCAGAGTAATAGTGAAACTTGTGTGTTATTTTGTCATATCAATGTCAGTCAATACTCTCAATGCCTCAACATACAGCACATCTCACACAGTGTGTTTATATTGGCAGGTTGGGAAAGATGACCTGGACATCAGCAAGGTAGCGGCCTCTGGCTCCAAGACCCTGCTAAACCCTCTAGTGAACCAGTACAGCCTGACCCTGGGCCAAGACATGGGCTTCCACGACACCAAGTCTCTCATCAAGTGTGTGGAGTCCCTCTCCTTCATAGTACGCGACGCTGCACACGTCACCCCCGAGAACTTTGAGCTGTGTGTCAAAGCCATCCGGGTGTTTGTGGAGGCCAGCCTAAACGGAGGTATGACTTCCTGTTGACTGACATAAATTAATTCCTACTTGTTTGAGGTTCATTTTGTATTCTGTCTTTTTCCAAAGTGTTTTTTGTTTTTTTCATAACAACTAGAAATCTTCCAACAATGAATTCAGCATTGTATTTGCCTTTCCATCAATGCTGTTTTCCAAGCTAACACGTCATCAAACTATGTTTGAGTCATTTAAGCTTTGACAGTTTGCCATTTTTGGTGGGTAGTCTTAAAAGCCTTTGGAAGGGGATCCAAAGGCATGCCTATAGAGTGACTAACCTGACTCGGGGCTCCTTGCCTCCTCCACACCAACCCTCTAATTGAGGACTGTGTCACTCGGCTTCCCTTCTCCACAGCAGTCTGTTAGTGATCTAGAAAAGACTAAAGTAAAGCCGGGATTACAGTGGAAGGTGGTGCTGGTGCACTCTGCAGGCCTGGCACTACTGATAGCCTTTTCATTTCTCCCAGCGCTCCAGGCCCTTAGATACCTGCTGTCAACACGGCTTTACACACTTAATAATAAAGTTGGGTCGATCAAGGACCTCAGTTAAGCGCAGCTCTAATCTATATGGGAAGCTAATGGAAACCGCACAGCCCTGAAACCTGCTATTACTCAAAGTTGATATAGCCTTTTGTTGCCTGGTTTAACATAAAAGGAATTTATTTTTTCCGAAGCGCTAAGTCATACCTGTCAAAATATGACATCTATAGAAATATCAATAAAGATAACTCAGGATATATCTGTAACAATGGCTAAAACTTTCCCTCCATCGCCACTGACCTACAGGCTATAGGACGTATGAGAAGAAGAAGAACCACAAGTACGACTCCCAGAAGTCCCGTGTGAGGAGGAAGCCCCGGGAGAAGGAAGGGACATCCCGCCGCGCCAAGGCCTCCAGCCAGAGGCCCTCCCGTTCCCATAGCGATGACGAGGAGGACGAGGGGGTCCCTGCCAGCTACCACACGGTGTCATTACAGGTTAGTCAGGACGTAAGTACCGCAGCCCTCTTTCCCTTCTACCTTGGTCTCTGTGCTGCTCAGGGGCTCTGTTCAGTTGGGTGAAACGTTTAGAACTACATGACAGACATTCATGTCTGTTCTACACAAAATAATTATCTATCTGAACGTTCTGTAACGTTGTACCCTTCTGAATGTGCCCCAGGTTTGCTCTCAGGTGTGTGGGGGGAGGTGGGGTTGCGGGGAAAGGTGGGGATTTTGGGAGATTTCAGCTCTTTTCTCTCTCTGCATATTCAATTGAGACTGAGACTGAGGCTGAGTGACACACTATGGTTGTCATGGCAATTAAGCGATCTTCTTCAACTACTATTCTCATTTCCTGAAATTGATCTAGGTCTGTGACGATACCAGTATCGCAATATTTTTTTCCTTGGCAAAAATGAAAACACAAAGCAGACCAAACTCTTTGGTCTGTTTAAAAACCTGCTGTAAGTAAAATATTGTATGCTATAGCTTGGAAAATAAATAAATGTGACTCTGGATGACAACATAATGATGTTTGTTTCCAAAATTAAATCCGCTTTGTGTTTTGTTTCCTTGCCACGGTACTAACGAGTATTGCGATACTGGTATCATCCCGGCCCTATATGAGTGATTCAAAGTTACGCTATCTGTCAGCAATAATTGCAAACTCTTTTCAGAACTAACTTGGCACTAATCAGGTATTCATGCTCAGTCGACTAACACTAATATTAACCTCTTGCATTGCCTATTTTACAAATGTTCGATCTTGAAAGGGCTGAAATGTGAAATGTCAATACTCGTTGCTATAGCTATTCTAAATAAAATGTAACTTGCAAACCTTGACTAATTAAATGCTTAAAGATCTGATTATTATTATTATTAGATATTCAGGTCTGTGTAAGGTTGCAAAGAGAAGGAATATTACCACTAACTTTAGGAATTTTGGAAACGTTATTTTTACTCCCAAAAATGTATTTTGCAACCCTAGGTCTGTGTAACATGACTGAAATAATGTAGACATGGAAAACACTATTGCATGGAGATAGTTCCCTTCCAATGCTTTTGTCTTGTCCACTTCACACCTCTTCTCCATCAGTATATCAAAATGACATAAATATCAATACTCTTTTATCACAGATCATAACTTATTTTATTATACACCCAAATATATTGTCTGGATTAGAATAAAGTACTTAAGCCGCGTTTAGACAGGCAGCACAATTCTGATCTTTTTTCCACTAATTGGTCTTTTGACCAATCACATCATATAGTTTTCAGAGCTGATCTGATTGGTCAAAAGACCAATTGGTGGAAAAAAATATCATAATTGGGCTGCCTGTCTAAGCGCAGCCATAGATATGTAAATGTTCTTTAATATGTGTCTTGCTGCCAGCAAGACAAAACAGACATTAAGTCATACGCTCATGTTTAGAATCAAGCTGTGATTAGATTAGCTATGACCACACCATATTGACATGGAGTTCCGTGTTTCCCCCTGGTTCAGCTGTTAGATCTGATGCACACGCTGCATACGAGGGCCTCCAGCATATACAGCTCCTGGGCAGAGGAACAGCGCCACCTGGAGCCTGCAGGGAAGAAGATTGAGGCTGACTCCCAGACACTTTGGACCAGCTGCTGGTGCCCACTGCTCCAAGGTCAGAGACTTTATCCCCTAGTTATCTATAAAACCTATTTACATAAAGGCACCACTAAACTGTTAAATAAACACCATTTATCATCGTTTCGTAGTCATTGGAGGAATGTTTTCAGTGTCATTGTGTGAAGCCAAAGGCACATTTCCTATTTTCGTGGACAAGGTTTTCACATGTTAATCATTTTTTGCTAATATTGGAACTGATAACTAATATTAGGAGATTCATATAAATATAAGCTTGAAGGTAAAAATCACTCCCTAGGTGCCCTTAATTCACTGATGACCCCTGAGAGAATGGACTTAGTGGACTCAGTGATCTTGTTCTCGCTCCACTATAGCATTCAACTAATCACTCTTGCCAGTCTTAGCTCAAGTATCCATACATTGTGTGAACCCTATAGGGATAGCCTGGCTGTGCTGCGACGCCAGGCGGCAGGTGCGAATGCAGGCCTTGACCTACCTCCAGAGGGCACTGTTGGTCCATGACCTGCAGACACTAGATGCTGTGGAGTGGGAGTCCTGCTTCAACAAGGTGAGAGGAGCATGCTGAACATCATTTTTGACATTCTAAGATGACCACTGGAAATTGGTGTGCGTAAGGGGAATAGTGGGTCACAAGAATGGCTGCTGAATGGTTCCTCTGAAATAGATGGTGAAATATATGATTCACTAAAAGAGTAGGCACTTGGGGCCAAATTCTAGCTTGAAATGTGCATTTATTTGAAATTCTATGGCAAATATCTCATTGAAATCAATGCAGTATTATGGAAAAATCTCACATTCGAAAGTAAGTGGGAAATAACTGGTCTGTCCGTCTAATGTGAGCGTTGTCAGTGTTAACTGTGTTCTAAGTACTGTATACTGTGTGCTCCCAGGTGCTGTTCCCCCTGCTGACCAAGCTTCTGGACAATATTAGCCCTGCAGACGTGGGAGGCATGGAGGAGACCAGGATGAGGGCTTGCACCATGCTGTCAAAGGTTAGAGTTCAGTCAACACACAACAGGCATCCATTTCAAAGTGTGAAATCTGATATTTTGTCAGACTGTGTTCAGACCGTTGGGTTAGACTCTCCTACAACTGTCTGTTGCCTTTGGGGTGTTCTTTTTTAGAGAAATTTACATATTTGCTCAATCCTTCCACTGTCTAGCACTTCTCATCTGTCTAAACAGTGATAGTATAATATACTGTATCAAGTAGTGCCTGTCTACCCATGCCATCTCTGCATATCTCACCGTTTTCCATTGCTCTGCTCTACCCTAGGTGTTCCTACAGCACCTCTCTCCCCTGTTGTCTCTGTCCACCTTCGCTGCCCTGTGGCTCACCATCCTGGACTTCATGGACAAGTACATGCACGCTGGCTCCAGTGACCTGCTGGTAAGGATGCCTGATATTACACAGTAGCACATGTCGATTTGAACTCCTATTAGCTCAGGTGCTTCTAACTAGTCTAGCAAATCTTAACATTTTAGAACTTTCCAATCTGAGTGGTCAAACTCAAAGGAGGGCAAACAAGAAGAAAGGAAAATAAATACGGGTCTTTAAGTAATAGTTCATGTTGATTTCTATACAGCTCATTTCAATGAGTGGTTTTTCCATCTATATGTGTGTGATTGCGTGGCTAATTGGCTGGTTGTTGTCACCCCCCTCCCAGCTGGAGGCCATCCCAGAGTCTCTGAAGAACATGCTGCTGGTGATGGACACAGCAGGAATCTTCCACAGCGCTGACTCTCGTACGGGATACTCTGACCTGTGGGAGATCACTTGGGAACGCATCGACTGCTTTCTGCCTAACCTCCGGGAAGAGCTCTTCAAACAGACAGTCATACCACAACCAGGTACTGGACTGCACACCTGCTTCTATTAAGGCCCTGTTTTCTCAGATATGTACTCTGCTTTCAGAGTATTAACAATGTAGGTTATCTGGATCTGTATTGGCCGTACAGCATTTACTGCGATGCGGCCTCTGCAGAAGTCAGGGCCTTCATACTTCTTTGCAGAGCTGTTGTGAAGGAAGTTGTCAAGGAAGTGAGTTGTGTTTATACAGGACATACCACCCCCACCTACCGTCAACCAATCATGTCAATGTGGAGCTATACAGAGACCTCCGCATTGTTACAAAATCTGGGAGGCACATGGTGATGCGGTACGGAGCTTGATTTGGCCTCTGCAAGCCTCCGGAGGCGCCACGTTTGCATCACACCCTCCATACGGAGCCTCCGGACTGCATTTTCCATATCAAGCATAAATCGGCTTTTCGAATACACAGCCTACATGTTTTTCATGATTTATACTTAGCCTTGTTTCAATGGCTGTCTGTGCTCTGTGTCCATAGATCCTGCTCCTAGTTCCCCAGTCGAGCTTGCCCAGCCGGCTGCCCCCGGCCCCCCAGCCTCGCCACCCTCAGCCCAGGCCCCATCTCCTGTGCCAGTGCCAGCTGCCCCCACAGAGCCAAAGACCTCCAGCAGACCAGTGTCGCCTCAAGATCCCCCACCACCTAGTACCAACGGTAACCATGTTAACATGGCCAAAGATTAAAACTGGCCAACGCCAACGATCAATGAATCATTTAGTCAATGTCAGTTTCATAGCAAACAATCAATGAATGAATCAATGTCCTCTCTTCTCTTCCAGGAATAGACAGATCATCTCCAGTGCCCCCGTCGACTCCCCCCATGCCCACCCCAGTGAAGATGTCCCCCCAGATCTCTAGGCCACTGATCCAGTCCCCCACGAGTCAGTCTCCCCCTCATCCTGCAGCCCCTGGCCTCCCATCTGCAGGTGGGGGGCGTGCCCCCTATGTCCCTCCCCATCATCCTCAACCCTGCCCTCATTGAGGCCAGCTCCCCTGTCCCCCTGCTCCCCGCCCCCCGCCCCACTGACCCTAGTGACACCCCAGAGGTCAAATAGAGCCTCCATAGCCCTATCCCTACTCTCACATTGGGAACTCCATCCCCCACCTGTTCTCTAAACAACATAGCTTTCTCCTTAGGCTCTGCCCACCTTCACAGGGGGGATAGACCATCTGTGACACAGAGAGAGACCCTGGACATGCATGGTCACCTCTCAGACACATCTAGCTTTGAAGTCTTATCTAACATCCTGGGGCCTGCATTTTTTGGAACTCCGTCGGGGTCTCAACTTACTTTTGAGAGCTAGATTAGTAGAAGACACAAGGCGCAAGTTTGAAATTTGGTTGTGCATTAGCAGTTTTTCTCTTGTTTTGTCAGTCACTGACTGTCACTCAATTAGCCATGTCGTCTAACAATTTTCGGATTGGTAAATTAGTCTAGCCAGTTATCTAAACTTGTAGTAATCATGGCCGAATACTGACAGGGCACTTGCTCAGGGGCCCTGACTTCCAGGGGGCCCCCCCATTTGATTTTGTTAATCACTCTCACTCAGATCATTAACATGGCATAAGTCATGACAAAATGTGTAGAATTGCAGGAAATTTTCTTTAAAACTGCAAAAATGTCTCTCCACCCCATGGAAAAATAGGAAACAATTGCAGGAAATAAGCTTTAAAACAGCAGAATAATTCTCTGCCCCATGGCAAAATGAAACGTGTTATCAAATTGCAAAAATGTCTATGCCCCATGGCAAAATGTATAGAACCGCAGTAAACGTGCTTTAAAACTGCTAACATTTTTCTCTACACCCCATGGCAAAATGTGTTCCAGGAAATTAACTTTAAAAGATACATTTTTCTCTCCTCCGTCAAGAGATGGGTCACAAAAAAAATGGTCCGCTTGGTGGGGGGCCTCCCCAACCAAATCTTGCTTAGGGCCCCCAAAAGGCTAGAGTTTTGCCTGAGTATGCCTGTGCTTAACATTAATCTAGAGGTTCTGCCAGGAACAAAATCATAGTGAATAACTTACTTGGGTTTTAGGTACTGCATGTTGTTTACTGAATAGGATGTAAACAGATGAATTTACTCCAGTCAAACTGTCAGGGCACTGTCTTAAAACAAAACAGAGCTATATCATAACTCTTTTATTGGAGGGTCGAAATGTAAGTGTACAGTAATATAAAGCATACATAGTTTCTATATTTCCAGTATAACATTTGGTGTCAGAGGTTTTTGAAAATAAATATATTATATGATATCCTGGGATTATAAATTAGCCTACAAATTGTCACAAGCTTGTTTGCTAATTTTTATTACAATGGCCCTAAAACACAAAAGAACAAAGATATGTTTTAAAACGACACTTTAAGTACTCTTAAGTACTTTAAATACTGTTATACCCAAGAGGGACAAAGGTGTGCATGGCTTGGCTTGGAAAGATGGATTTGAGATGCTGCCATTGCTAACAAGGGCAGCACCTAGAACATTCCGAATGTGACGACTGGTCTGGCCTGGGTGTGTGGTTGGTTCGCTGTGTTCTGTGATGGTGGAACTCTGTACGTGTCAGCTTTTATCGATCAGGTTAGGAGAGTTTTATAGTAAGGTCTTAATGAGATTATTTAATGGAGTACAGTATTGCCTTTTGTCATTTGTATCCAGGTGTGTTTGTCACGTTTGTGTAATAAATGTTTTGTTGTCACATACACCGGATAGGTGCAGTGAAATGTGTTGTTTTACAGAGTCCACCATAGTAGTACAGTGCCCCTGGAGCAAATTAGGGTTAAGTGCCTTGCTCAAGGGCATATCGACAGATTTCTCCCCTTGTCAGCTCGGGTATTCGAACCAGCGACCTTTCGGTTACTGGCCCAACACTCTAAGCAACATGATGCATACAGCAATATTGGCCACTTAAGACTTGAGTAAGCATATTGCCATATTATATGACTTGACTTGAGCAGATTGAGCATAGACCGCAATCAGTAAATCTGGGACAAGCAGATCTTAAATTCAGTTTTAATTTTCAAGAGATGAGAAGATTGGTCCAGATCGTCTTTGCAAGTTTTCATACGGGACTACTTTATCCCACTTGACACAGTGAAAGTATTTTTGCATGTCACCGTCTGTACAGTAAGCAGTACAGTAATTTATGGATTGCAGAGGAGTTGGGACATTGGTATGTTGAAGTTAGAGCCTTGATCTTCCTATCAAACGATACTCATATCAGACATCTCACTGCATGTGATGATGGAAGAACGAACAATGGTTTTCAAAAGCCTCAACCACTTAGAAGAACACATCACGTGTCTCTTTTGAAAACCCAACGTGGTCGTTGTAACCTTCAATGCAGCTTATTTCTTGGCCGTTACCCCTATCAGTCTATAATCTTTTAATCGTATTTATTAATCTAGGAATGGGGTTGGATAATTAATACTCTCGTTGAAGCACAGTTGGGAGCAACTACTTCCAGGTCAGGTTACATTACTCTCCGAATCCACTGCCTTATGTCAGAAATCGCATTAGTCAATGAAGTGGAGCCCCTCTGTCAGGGGTGTCTTTTTGTAAGTCATTATGTTCATTTGTTGTACTGCATTGTTAGGTATACCAGGAGCTAATTCTTGAGTGAACAGGAAATTACATGAATATAATGTATATATAAAGAAAAGGTAATGTACTTTTTACAATGTAATAAATCAAATGTAATGAAACTGGGTTGCTGTCTTATTCATGGGTGTTTAGTAAATTATGCATCAATCAAATCACAGTTGGATCTGTGGTGTAAAACATCTTGATTTTTATTTCAAAGCAGAATGAGAAACACTTTTTTTTTCTTAGTAAACTAACTGTATCAGAAACTACATAGGGATTCTGGCAGAAAAAACAACCGTTAAAATTGTCTTTGTACATGGAATGTAAAAACAATATCAGTAAATAAGGGATACGAATGACAAGCCATGGGGATTATTAACTTAATCTAGTCTAAAAATAATGCAATCCCGTAAAAGGAAGACGGTAACATAAATGCATACAGTACTTCACTCACAAAACATTTTTGGAACACCTTCCGAGGGCTATCCAATGTCATCAAAAACACCTACATACAGCATCTTCCATCACACTATACCAGCTGCAAAAACAAAAATCCATCTGAAATGCAACTGTTAAAAAAACACCCCAAATCTAGCATCTCTTTAGCTCTTCTTCACTTGGCATCAAGCTTGGCCATTTCCTGAAGGTATATTCCGATGCTCTCGCTGTCAAACAGTACAAAGTAAATGTTTTTCAGGGAAGAGGTCGTTGCAGAGACAAAATGGTTGGAGATTGCCTTGAGGATCAGCTGGGCGGCTGTTTGCTTTGGGAATCCATTCCTAGAACCAGGAGAGATGCACAGATGTGGGCTGAATCTCAATTTGTCTTTCTGAGATTCCTGCCTCCTGAACCTTATATAAAAAGGATAAAGGTTAAAGGTCACTCCCTGGACCATTTTCTCAAATGCGTTTTAAGAAGGAATCTAGGAAAGATAAATTGAGAGCTCTGGTTCAGACTGCTGAGGCCCCTTTTTTTATTACTGGAAACCAAATGTATGAATTGCACCTTTAAAATAACATTAATGTTATCGTTAGTAAGCAGGTTTCCATCCAACCATTTTTGTGAGTCAAGTGCCTGTCGACAAAACAAAAGACGCTAGATAAAGGTGAATCTTTTTGGGGGCTGTGATTCGATTATGCAACCAATTCCGGTGGAAACAATTTATTGTGCAATTGTTGATAGAATATTGTTGAGGTAAATTTGCAGTCCTGTATTGATAGGTTGTGTGGTCCTCCCACTACAATTTGAAAAAGCATGCAGATTAGGCTACAGATTAAATAAATTACGATAAACTTCACAGGTTGGTGAAAGTGCATGATAAGCTTAATGCCTAGTTTCCAATCTATATCAAGGGTCTTATTTTATGCTGGTGACATGATGATTGGTGATTGCCTGCCAATTGACAAATAAAAACGATCTTATTCATAATTTCATCATGTAGGTTTACCCTCTGCACTTTATCGGCGAGCTGTTGACTAGAGCGCATGCCGAGACCTGAGTGGGTACATTTGCTGTTTATCGCAGACTTTTTGTGCCAAAACCTTCGACCGAGTTAAAAACGTGATGGAAACAAATAGAATTTCAAGTTTTTTATTCAGTAAATTAAAAAGTTAAGTGCGTTTTGTGTGCACAACGTTATTACGCACAGCCTTGTTGCTGCAGCAGTGCTTTTCCATCAAACTGGCTTCTTGCGAACAAGGCTGTGCGTAATAACGTTGTGCACACAAAACGCACTTAACTTTTTAATTTACTGAATAAAAAACGGATTCTATTTGTTTCCATCACGTTTTTAACTCGGTCGAAGGTTTTGGCACAAAAAGTCTGCGATAAACAGCAAATGTACCCACTCAGGTCTCGGCATGCGTTCTAGTCAACAGCTCGCCGATACAGATGTCTTATCTTCATTTTATAATTTTGATAGGCTACAGCAGGCTATATGTAGCATACAGCTGCATTTCAAATACACTTGTACACTGCTCAAAAAAATTAAGGGAACACTTAAACAACACATCCTAGATCTGAATGAATGAAATAATCTTATTAAATACTTTTTTCTTTACATAGTTGAATGTGCTGACAACAAAATCACACAAAAATTATCAATGGAAATCAAATTTATCAACCCATGGAGGTCTGGATTTGGAGTCACCCTCAAAATTAAAGTGGAAAACCACACTACAGGCTGATCCAACTTTGATGTAATGTCCTTAAAACAAGTCAAAATGAGGCTCAGTAGTGTGTGGCCTCCACGTGCCTGTATGACCTCCCTACAACGCCTGGGCATGCTCCTGATGAGGTGGCGGATGGTCTCCTGAGGGATCTCCTCCCAGACCTGGACTAAAGCATCCGCCAACTCCTGGACAGTCTGTGGTGCAACGTGGCGTTGGTGGATGGAGCGAGACATGATGTCCCAGATGTGCTCAATTAGATTCAGGTCTGGGGAACGAGCGGGCCAGTCCATAGCATCAATGCCTTCCTCTTGCAGGAACTGCTGACACACTCCAGCCACATGAGGTCTAGCATTGTCTTGCATTAGGAGGAACCCAGGGCCAACCGCACCAGCATATGGTCTCACAAGGGGTCTGAGGATCTCATCTCGGTACCTAATGGCAGTCAGGCTACCTCTGGCGAGCACATGGAGGGCTGTGCGGCCCCCCAAAGAAATGCCACCCCACACCATGACTGACCCACTGCCAAACCGGTCATGCTGGAGGATGTTGCAGGCAGCAGAACGTTCTCCACGGCGTCTCCAGACTCTGTCATGTCTGTCACATGTGCTCAGTGTGAACCTGCTTTCATCTGTGAAGAGCACAGGGCGCCAGTGGCGAATTTGCCAATCTTGGTGTTCTCTGGCAAATGCCAAACGTCCTGCACGGTGTTGGGCTGTAAGCACAACCCCCACCTGTGGACGTCGGGCCCTCATACCACCCTCATGGAGTCTGTTTCTGACCGTTTGAGCAGACACATGCACATTTGTGGCCTGCTGGAGGTCATTTTGCAGGGCTCTGGTAGTGCTCCGCCTGCTCCTCCTTGCACAAAGGCGAAGGTAGCGGTCCTGCTGCTGGGTTGTTGCCCTCCTACGGCCTCCTCCACGTCTCCTGATGTACTGGCCTGTCTCCTGGTAGCGCCTCCATGCTCTGGACACTACGCTGACAGACACAGCAAACCTTCTTGCCACAGCTCGCATTGATGTGCCATCCTGGATGAGCTGCACTACCTGAGCCACTTGTGTGGGTTGTAGACTCCGTCTCATGCTACCACTAGAGTGAAAGCACCGCCAGCATTCAAAAGTGACCAAAACATCAGCCAGGAAGCATAGGAACTGAGAAGTGGTCTGTGGTCACCACCTGCTAATTGCCTATAATTTCCACCTGTTGTCTATTCCATTTGCACAACAGCATGTGAAATTTGTCAATCAGTGTTGCTTCCTAAGTGGACAGTTTGATTTCACAGAAGTGTTATTGACTTGGAGTTACATTGTGTTGTTTAAGTGTTCCCTTAATTTTTTTGAGCAGTGTATTTCGTAGTGGAGACCAACATCTATCTTGTGTTATTAAGCTATATAAAACGACGGTTGTTGATGTGTATGGCTGCATTTTAGATACATTTTTGTACATTTTGAATGTTGCAGTACTAGGACATTCTGTCTGGTGCTTTAGTGTTTGAGCAAGCAAGAGAGGGAGAACTGTAGGTTTTCAGTGAATATGTAAATCACGAGGCTCATTTGAATTTGACAGAGTGATCAAATCAAGATGCGGCATCTGTATGGACATTATTTTGTGTGAATAAGAATATTCACTTGAATATCTTTTCATACATTTATGGAAACCTAGCTACTGGTATAGATTTAAAGCATCATACTGGCTGTATTTCTGTATGATGACAATTATATATTTTGAAAACTTGATTGCTGACATGAAAAACATTTTGGGACTATATCAACAATGGACTAATTAAACAAATACCAAAAGATAGTTTTTGGGTGGAATTTTCCTTTAAAGCTGTAGTTGAATAGTCTCACCGGCCAGCAGGAAGTGAGGGGAAGGCCACAGACTTCAGTTTCTTCTCCTCTGCAGCAGAGAGACAGGCCTTGACAGTTTTCTCCAGCTGGTCCTCACACTTCTCTGAGCCCCACTGAGGGATGTTACAGTGGATGACGAAACGAGCTGGCATCCCACTGGCCTGACTCACCGCAACTACAGGAGGAAGACACGCACTGATGTTTCGCTCTTCATTTGTAGGTTTAAATGTAGCATTGACAGTGTACTATAAGGTGGGTTTTGAAGTTAGGTGGGTGAGTGAGGTGAGACAATATGTTTCAATCAAGTGGATTATGCTACATTTGGGTCTTTGGATAAGCACATTCAGTAATTGCATCATTTCATTACCATGCAAAAGAAAAACCTCTCCAACCTTTCATCCAGCAGATTTGACATTAGGTGTCTCCATACCTGATGCTACCTCCAGAGGTCCCTGTGCTTTCCTCAGTTCTTTCACTGCCTCTAAGAAGTCCCGCCCACCTGCCTTCTCCAGGGCATTGCCTGCAGACAAGAGCACACAACAGGTAAGAGAGTAAAAAATATAATGGGCTGTGAAGCTTTCAAAAGACAAGCAGGTCTGACATCCTCACCCACTCCCTCTTTGAGGTCCATCTCAGCATTTGTGGGGTTGATGATTCCCTCCACCTTGATGGTTCCAATCTTGCTAATTTCACTCTCTGTTAGTGAAAGCTGTTTAAGGGGATATAGAGTTGACGTTATAACAAAATTACTAAGAAACTTGATGCATACATGTCACTTATTGCCAAAGTGTATAACTGAGGTACACTACATGACCAAAAGTATGTGGACACCTGCTCGTCAAACATCTCATTCCAGTTGAGTTGGTCCCCCCTTTGCTGCTATAACAGCCTCCACTCTTCTGGGAAGGCTTTCAACTAGATGTTGGAACATTACTGCGGGGACTTGCTTCCATTCAGCCACGAGCATTAGTGAGGTCGGGCACTGATGTTGGGCGATTAGGCCTGGCTCGCAGTCGGCGTTCCAATTCATCCCAAAGGTGTTCGATGGGGTTGAGGTCAGGGCTCTGTGCAGGCCAGTCAAGTTCTTCCACACTGATCTCGACAACCCATTTCTGTATGGTCCTTGCTTAGTGCACGGGGGCATGGTAATGCTGAAACAGGAAAGGGCCTTCCCCAAACTGTTGCCACAAAGTTGGAAGCACAGAATCATCTGGTCCTCTGTAGCTCAGCTGGTAGAGCACGGCGCTTGTAACGCCAAGGTAGTGGGTTCGATCCCCGGGACCACCCATACACACAAAAAAAAAAATGTATGCACGCATGACTGTAAGTCGCTTTGGATAAAAGCGTCTGCTAAATGGCATATTATTATTATTATTATTATTATTATTATTATTATCTAGAATGCCATTGTACACTGTAGCATTACGATTTCCCTTCACTGGAACTAACGGGCCTAGCCTGAACCATGAAAAACAGCCCCTGACCATTATTCCTCCTCCACCAAACTTTACAGTTGGCACTATGCATTTGGGCAGGTAGGGTTCTCCCGGCATCCGCCAAACCCAGATTCATCCGTCGGACTGCCAGATGGTGAAGCGTGATTCATCACTCCAGTTTCCACTGAGTCCAAATGCATAGTGCCAACTGTAAAGTTTGGTGCAGGAGGAATAATGGTCAGGGGCTGTTTTTCATGGTTCAGGCTAGGCCCGTTAGTTCAGCCACGAGCAAATGAGTCCTTCATGAATTGGCATTGCGCATGGTGATCTTAAACTTGTGTGTGGCTGCTCAACCATGGAAACCCAATTCATGAAGCTCCCGACGAACAGTTGTTGTGCTGACGTTGCTTCCAAAGGCAGTTTGGAACTCTGTAGTGAGTGTTGCAACCGAGGACAGACGATTTTTACGCACTGCGCGCTTCAGCACCCAGCGATCCCGTTCTGTGAGCTTGTGTGGCCTACCACTTTGCGGCTGAGCAGTTGTTGTTCCTAGACGTTTCCACTTCACAATAACAGCACTTATAGTTGACAGGGTCAGCTCTAGCAGGGCAGACATTTGACGAACTGACTTGTTGGAAAGGTGGCATCCTATGACAGTGCCACGTTGAAAGTCACTGAGCTCTTCAGTACGGGCCATTCTACTGCCAATGTTTGTCTATGGAGATTGCATGGCTGTGTGCTCGATTTTATACACCTGTCCGCAATGGGTGTGGCTGAAATAGCTGAATCCACTCATTTATAGGGGTGTCCACATACTTTTGTATATATAGTGTATCTTTACAATAGGTGTCACAGAATGACAGTTTTGTCATAACTGACATGACATGATACCTTTTGTCCAAGGAACAGGCTTTTCGCTGAGAGGATAGTGAATCCATCGCCTGGTCCATCTTCCACTGTTGAGTTGGCTACGACAGTTTCTTTTTCGTTTTCTGTGCTCTTCTTTTCATAGAATCAAAGAAAAACAGAACATACTCATCCTTCTTATAACACTATAACAAACACATTGACAAATTGAGATGTTTGCCGTCATTCACGAAGCCCATTCATGTGTACTGACCCTTGGCTTGCGGCCTGGTTTGCCTTTGCCTTTTTTGGTGGTGGGTTTCTTGATGCTCTTGACGCGTTCCGCCCTCTTCTCTGGCACGGTCACCTGAGTGTCCACTTTCACTCGGCTGCCCCTCTTCTTGGACAATAGCTCCGGGTGGATACGAGGCAGGACCCCTCCGTTTGATATGGTCACCCCTCGGAGAAGCTGAGAGAGGCCAAAGAACAGGTGAATTAGTTTACTTTTCAATAGATATTCAGTCTATCATTGGTCAAGTTCTTTGCTCTGAGAAATACTTTACTAGTCAAGTGGTGAAATCCTGCTAAAATGATAAAGAACATTGTCTATTAAGTGTAATTAGTTCATCACTATTTTCTCCCCAGTCCCCACTTATTTGAATGCAAGCTGAATGTCCCCACTGCCTATAAAACATTAAATATGTTGGAGTGCATTGAGCATATAACCTTTGACAGTTACAGTGCTGTGAAAAATTACATAATAACACAACAATTATACTTATTTAATAAACAAAGTTACGCAAGACCCAATGCCCCTGTGTGAAAAAGTAATTGCTCCCTTACAATCAATAACTGGTTGTGCCACCTTTTAACTGCAATGACTCCAACAAAACGCTTCCTGTAGTTGTTGATCAGTCTCATGTCGCTGTGGAGGAATTTTGGCCCACTCTTGCATGCAGAGCTGCTTTAACTCAGCGACATTTGTGGGTTTTCAAGCATGAACTGCTCGTTTCAAGTCCTTCCACAGCATCTCAATTGGGATTAGGTCTGGACTTTGACTAGGCCATTGCAAAACTTCAAATGTGTTGCTTTTTAGCCATTTCCATGTAGACTTGATTGTGTGTTTTGGATCATTGTCTTGCTGCATGACCCAGCTGCGCTTCAGCTCACAGACAGATGGCCTGACATTCTACTGTAGAATTCTCTGATACAGAGTAGAATTCATGGTTCCTTCTATTAAGGCAAGTCGTCCAGGTCCTGAGGCAGCAAAGTATCCCCAAACCATCACACTTTCTTACTGTGGAATGCAGTGATTGGTTTTTGCCAGGCATATTGGGACCCATGTCGTCCAAAAAGTATTGATGATCTTCCAGGTGCTTTTTGGCAAACTTTAGTCAACTTTTTGGAGGACATGAGTCCCATTATGCCTGCTGGAAACCAAACACTGCATTCCACAGTAAGAACCTCATACCAACGATCAAGCATGGTGGTGGTAGTGTGATGGTTTGGGGATGCTCAGAGAATTCTACAGGAGAATGTCAGGCCAGCCGTCTGTGAGCAGAAGCTGAAGCGCAGCTGGGTCATGCAGCAAGACAATGATCCAAAACACACAATCAAGTCTACATGAAAATGGCTAAAAAGCAACTAATTTGAAGTTTTGGAATGGCCTAGTCAAAGTCCAGTCCTAAACCCCAATTGAGATGTTGTGGCAGCACTTGAAACAAGCAGTTCATGCTTGAAAACCCACAAATGTCACTGAGTTAAAGCAGTTCTGCATGCAAGAGTGGGACAAAATTCCTCCACAGTGACTTGAGAGACTGATCAACAACTACAGGAAGCATTATGTTGCAGTCATTACAGCTAAATGTGGCACAATCAGTTATTGATTGTAAGGGGGCAATTACTTTTTTCACACAGGGGAATTGGGTGTTGCGTAACTTTGTTAAATAAATAACCCAAAAAATGTATACTTATTTTATTTGTAAACTCAGGTTCCCTTTATCTAATATTAGGTTTTGGTTGAAGATCTGATAATTCAGTATCAAGAATATGCAAAAATAGAGAAAATCAGAAAGGAGGCAAATACTTTTTCATAGCACTGTATGTCTTGTCAGGATTTGGGGCCTCAATAAAAAAAAATTCCACTTGGGGTTAACCAAGAAGCAGTGGCAGTTCATGCCTGATGATGCCATACAGATGCCATATGGCGTCAACTGCACCTTCCTGAACCCTTAGACCAGGGGTGTCAAACGTCCGGCCCGCAAACGGGTTTAATCCGGCCCGCGAGATGATTTTGTAAAGTATAAAAATGAGCCGCAATTTTTCAATAAAAGAAACTGCTGTTCCAATTGTGTCCACTGGATGGCGCAATAGCAATTGTGTTAAGCAAGCAAACTGTTTATCCCGGGGCAGAGCAAATAGGTCAAGCAAGTGCAGCCAGTCCGGATGAGCTACTTTGTTTTGCCCGCGATATTTATTACGGCTTCTACTTTTAACATTATGTGCTTTGGCACCCTCATTGCCCCAATATGTCTCTGTCAAAAAATAGAAAAGTGGACACAGAGTGTTCCAAGAAAAATTGTCATCCTTCTATTTATTCACGGAATTGAATGGGAAAGCTGTATGTTTGGTGTGTTCACAGCATGTTGCAGTGCTGAAAGAATATAACCTTCGTCGCCACTATGTGAGTCTTCATGCCGACAAATATGACAACTTTCAAGGACAGCGGAGAAGAGAGAAGGTGAATGAACTGTTGGCGAGTCTGAAGAAACAGCAGTCTGTGTTTACTCACAGCCGAGACATCAGTGGCGCTGCAGGGAAAGCTAGCTACCTCATTGCTAATGAAATCGCAGTGGCTTCAAAACCATTTAGTGAGGGTGAATTTGTAAAAACATGCATGATGAAGGCAGCAGAGATTGGTGCTTTTCAGGGCACACAGGCTTTTGCAAATATCAGCCTGACAAGAAACACAGTTGCAGACAGGATTTCCGATCTTTCAGTGGATTTGGACAGCCAGTTGAAGCAAAAAGTAAAGTAATTTATTGCGTTTTCGGTTGCAATTGATGAAAGCACGGACATTACAGATGTTGCACAACTGGCCATTTTCATCCGCAGAGTTGATGACACATTGACCGTCACAGAGGAGTTCGTGGAGTTGGTGCCGATGACAGATACAACGACAGCAGCTGATATTTTCACTGCACTCGTCAGCGCGCTGGACAGGGTCGGAGTGGACTGGTCCCGCGCTGTCAGCCTGGCTACAGATGGTGCGCCCTCAATGATGGGGAAAAAAGCAGGCGTTATGACAAAGTTCAGAGAGAGAGAAAGTGCAATCTGCAAATGGAGGACGTGATTTTTGGACTTTTCACTGTATTTTGCACCAGGAGGCTTTGTGTTGCAAGTCATTAAAGATGGATAACGTCATGAAGGTGGTCATCCAAACTGTTAATTTCATCCGATCCAGAAGCCTGAATCAACGTCAGTTTGACAGCCTTCTCAGAGAGAAAGACCACATCTATGGCCTGCCATACCACACTGAGGTAAGATGGTTAAGCCGAGGTGCTGTGCTGAGGCGTTTCTTTGATTTATGAGAAGAAATTGAACAGTTCATGGAAGAAAAGGGCAAACCAGTGTTAGAATTTCATTCCGCAGAATGGATGCAGGACCTTGCATTTATGGTGGATGTTACAGAGCACCTGAATAACTTGAACAAACAGCTGCAAGGGTGCAACAAAGTTGCCACGCAGTATTATGACAGCATACGTTCTTTCAAGTTGAAGCTGTCATTGTGGGAGACGCAACTCGCCGGTGGTGATGCAGCTCACTTCCCCTGTCTGAAAAATGTGTGCGCGACCCAACATGTGGCAGACATGAAGCGGTTCAAAGATAAAATAACGGGACTGTTAAGGGAGTTTGAGCAACGCTTTCAGATTTTTGGTGAACTGGAGAAAGACTTCAACGTTTTTTGTTCGCCATTAAACGTGAATCCCTCTGATCTGCCCGTCAGCATCCAACTTGAAATAATATACTTGCAGTGTGACTCGGATTTGAAGGGCAAATTTGCCGCAGCTGGACATTTTATCAGAATCTCTTGCCAGGTTACCCCAACTTGACAGCCCTCGCTGCAAAACTGTTGTGCATGTTTGGAACCACATATCTTTGTGAGCAAGTTCTCTGTAATGAGCATAAATAAAACAAAGCTGCGCTCAAGGCTCACGCACAAGCACTTGAATCACATCCTGAAGTTGGCTGCCACTCAGGATGTGACGCCTGATATTGATGCGCTGGTGAAAGCTAAAAGATGCCAGGTATCAGGAGTCAAATAAACTATGCAACCCCACTTAAAGTGCTGCATGAGACACCCTGATATAGTTATGTGATCTGGGATATACTTCTGTGAATCACTGAGGCATTGTGTGTTTGTGTGTTGTTTGTCCTCAGAATTTCAAATAACTTGAGGTGTTTTATGATTAATAGTGATGTTGTGCTTTTGGACACACTGTCCTCAGGCTCCAGCTTTATGTGGTCCTCTGTAGCTCAGCTGGTAGAGCACGGCGCTTGTAACGCCAAGGTAGTGGGTTCGATCCCCGGGACCACCCATACACAAAAATGTATGCACGCATGACTGTAAGTCGCTTTGGATAAAAGTGTCTGCTAAATGGCATATTATATTATTATTATGTTTATATGTTTTTATGTTGATGTGCTATTGTTTTTAATTGATTTTTTTTTATTTGTATATTTAACCTATTCTTGACTCTGTGGTTCTTGCACTTGTTTGGGGAACAGGATTTCATTATTTGTATCTACATTTCTGCCTGAGAAATGACACCTGATATAGTTCTGTGATCTGTGAAACAGTTCTGTGAATCACTGAGGCATTGTTGTTTGTGTGTTCTTTTTCTTAGAATTTTCAAATAAACTGAGGTGTTTTATGATTAATAGTGATGTTGTGCTTGTACTATTTGGACACACTGTCCTCAGGCTCCAGCTTTATGTTTTATGTTGATAATATTAAAACAAAGAAAACAATCTGAAGTTGTTGTTTTTAAGTTATATATACCATGATTTTACCGGTCCGGCCCACTTAGAATATGAATATGCCATTTAGCAGACGCTTTTATCCAAAGCGACTTACAGTCATGCGTGCATACATTTATGTGTATGGTGGTCCGGGGATCGAACCCACTACCTTGGCGTTACAAGCGCCGTGCTCTACCAGTGAGTACAGAGGACCAGGGGTGTCAAACCACATTCACACTTGGGAATAGATTTTCCTCCATGTGGCCCCTGAGCTAAAATGAGTTTGACACCCCTGCCTTAGACAAAGGGACTACTTTCATCATAGTTTCATGGATCCCTATTAGGCACTGAAATATACTGCAATATAATAAAGTGTAACGATGATGCAATGAAATAGAACAACAAACACTGACTTTGCTGAGTTCATCATAGGACATTTTCTTAATGTTTGTCAATTTTAATGGGAATAATACTGTACCTGGTTGAGCTCCTCGTCGTTGGCTACAGCCAGTTTAATGTGCCGAGGAGTTATTCTGCCTTTTTTGTTGTCCCTTGCTGCATTTCCTGCCAACTCCAAAATCTCAGCTAAACAAATAAAATGTCATTAGAAAATCTTCAGACAAAGTATTCATATACTGAACAAAAATACAGTGCATTCGGAAAGTATTCAGACCCCTTGACTTTTTCCACATTTTGTTACGTTACTGCCTTATTCTAAAATGGATTAAGTTGTTGTTTTTTTCTCATCAAGGTGCACCTGTGTAATGATCATACTGTTTAATCAGCTTCTTGACATGCCACACGTCAGGTGGATGAATTATCTTGGCAAAGGAGAAATGCTCACTAACAGGGATGTAAACAAATATATGCACAACATTTGAGAGAAATAAGCTTTTTGTGCGTATGGACAATGTCTGGGATCTTTTATTTCAGCTCATGAAACATGGGACTAACACTCTACATGTTGCGTTTATATTTTGTATTCAGTATATATTTTAGATAAAAATGTTCCTGTTATATTGGACAGACAACTGAATTGAAGAAAGATGTGTGTGTGTTTTCACTCCGGTGAGACGCCAACCTGCCAGGTACTCTATGACGGCTGCCATGTAGACGGGTGCCCCCATGCCGATGCGGTACTTGTGGGTCCCTGTGCGTAGATACCTCATCATCCTCCCCACAGGAAAGATGACCCCTGCTCTGGCGGAGCGGGACAGTTTGGTGGTCTTCTTCTTCCCTCCTCGGGCTGACATCTTGCCTCAGCTACGTCTACCTGGGGAGGACAACAGTCCATTTAACATGGTTAGTGTTAAGGATGGAGATTGAATCTACGTTAAATGGGTCATTTGTACTGTACATGCAGCGATGAACCAATTGAAATACACTAGACAGCAATGTGCAAAACTGTTAATAATTACCACCTGTTTTGTTTGCCCAAAGGAATTTAATAAATACTAAATGTACTCCTCCAAAAGCTTGTATATGTGCCATGTTGAAGCTTCCATACATTGAAATGTTAATGACTAGACTAGAATCAGGTGTGTTTACATGTGGCATAACCAAGATAAGTCTGGGTGTGAGAAGTGGGAACTTGTCAGCAGGCTATATGATCAATAATTATTTAAATTAATAACACATGTATAAACAAATCTGCAGATCTGTGAACTTGAGAAACAAAGATTGAGATTCCAGGTTGAGATGTACAGAAGAGGCCTTTCAGGATCATATTGTCCTCATATAGGCCTATACCTTCACAGTTTGCAAAGCTGATAAGATCAGAGACTGAATAAAACTATCAAAGCACACTAACATATATCATTAGCAGACAATTCCAAAATACGATGCAATATAAGGCCTACAATATTTAAGAATTAAATTGCACTACATTGTTCAAAGGAATTGTAAAGTTGTAGGTGCCATTATAGGATTCATTTGATTAACGTATTAGTATTTATTATTTGTAAATACTTTTCAAGGTGAAGATAGGAAGGGTAGACAATTTAACTTTCCCAAAGGTAACTATGTAAACAAACTCAATAATACTGTACAGAAGACGGCCGCAGTGGCCTACAGACTCCAGTTTTGGAAATGGCATTTGCAATCTAAGACGCGACATATATTACTTCGAATGCATTGATTTGTGCATCTTGAATGCGTTTCGTATTCTCGATTGCCCCATGCACTTGAAAAATAAAAGAACAAAAGATCATGCCACCTAGTACAATGGCCTACTCGACGTACAGTAATTTTATTCATGTTTTTTAGTCAAATATGAAGGCTTAAGCTTAATTACAGATCCTAAACGACATAGCAATACTAAATGTACAAACAACCATGAATATGACAAATTACAAATGTTTATACATAGATGCTCCATTCTGCAGGAATAAAAATAACCCCTTGATACGTTTTTCTTCCTCCTATCGCCACAGGATTATGCACACTTAACTAGCTTATCTATCTAATCAATGGCCTTGCTTCAGTGGGTTGCCTATCCACTAGAAATCCGCGGCTGTTGTTCTCAAATAGAAATGTCTGGGACATCGGGCCATAACCTTTTTTGTAATTATGTTCCTCCCATGCTACAGCGCAACCCCCATTTTGTTTTCAATCCATTGGATGTGTAATCTCATCAGACATGGTCAGAAAGGAACGTTCTTTCGGAGACGCAGCTCGCCACAAAACGCAATAAACCGGATATGCGCGAGCGTGAAATTCTCCAAGTTTGTACCTGTTTGTCCTCCTTTACACGAATCGATGCAGGCCTGATCTTCCCTTTCGTAAGTCTCCGAGGAATGGCTGTATTCGCTGTCCTTATGCGGATCCTGTTCATAAAAAAAACTACAACCACCGTACGTACATAGGCTACATAGGGGGCTGGCTCTACTACTACTGATGCTGCAAAGGGGAAAAATTAAGTCCGGGGAAAAATAGAATGAAAACGCCCCCTTAACATGGCTTCAAGGGGAGAAGAATGTTGGTTGAAAGGAACGCAATGTGCTTGAAGATATACAACTGAATTTGGCTTTGAATGCCTATATATGCCTATAGATCAGTTTGGAAAATGTGTAAATCATAAATTCTGGATACATATACATACACTCAGTGGCCAGTTTATTAGGTACACCCATCTTGTACGCGCCTCCAGAACAGCCTGAATTCTTCGGCATGGATTCTGCAAGGTGTGGCATACAAAAGTTTTTCAATTGGTATCAAGGGACCTAACGTGTGTCAGGAAAACATTCCCCAAAACATTACACCACCAGCAGCTTGTACCATGGACTAATGCTGCTTAAGCCAAATCCTGACTCTGCCATCAGCATGAAGCAACAGGAACCGGTATTCGTCGGACCAGGTGATGTTTTTACACACCTCAATTGTCCAGTGTTTGTGATTGCTTGCCCACTGGAGCAGCTTCTTCTTGTTTTTAGCTGATAGGAAAGGAACCCGGTGTGGTCGTCTGCTGCGATAGCCCATCCGTGACAAGGACCGACGAGTTATGCGTTCCGAGATGCCGTTCTGCACACCACTATTGTACTGCGCCGTTATTTGCCTGTTTGTGGCCCGTCTGTTAATTTGCACGATTCTTGCCATTCTCCTTCGACCTCTCTGATCATCAAGCTGTTTTTGGCCACAGGACTGCCGCTGACTGGATGTTTTTTGTTTGTTGCACCATTCTCGGTAAACCATAGACACTGTCGTGGGTGAAAAGCCCAGAAGGCCGGCCGTTTCTGAGATACTGGAACCGGCGCGCCTGGCATCGACAATCATACCACGCTCAAAATCGCTTAAGTCATTTGTTTTGCCGCTTCTAACATTCAATCGAACAGTAACTGGATGCCTGTCTGCCTGCTTTATATAGCAAGCCACTGACACATAACTCACTGTCTGTAGGAGCTAACCATTTCCGTGAACGGGGTGGTGTACCTAATAAACTGTGTACATACAGTGCCTTTGGAAAGTATTTAGACCCTTTTGACTTTTTCCAAATGTTATGTTACAGCCTTATTCTAAAATTGATTAAATAAATAAAAATCCTCAGCAATCTAAACACAATACCCCATAATGACAAAGTGAAAACAGGTTTTTAGAAATGTTACCAAATGTATTAAAAATATAAAACAGAAATACCTTATTTACATAAGTATTCAGACACTTTGGTATGAGACTCGAAATTGAGCTCCGGTGCATCCTGTTTCTATTGATCATCCTTGAGATGTTTCCGAGACAGGATTGTGTCGAAGGCACAGTTCTGGGGAAGGGTACCAAACATTTTTTGCAACATTGAAGGTCCCCAAGAACACAGTGCCCTCCATCATTCTTAAATGGAAGAACTTTAGAACTACCAAGACTCTTCCTAGAGCTGGCCGCCCGGCCAAACTGAGCAATCGGGGGAGAAGGGCCTTGGTCAGGGAGGTGACTTTTCCAAGCTTAAAATAATAAACATTCAACATCATGGGCCATAAAAAGTTAAATACTTATTCCACGTTCAAAACAACTGGAAACTCGGAACTGGGAAATCTTAGACTTCAGTGAGTTCAAGACAACTGGGAACTCTGGGGACTGGGAAAATATGGTCATCCAACTCAGAATTCCAAGACGGGAACTCTGGCCTTTTTCTAAAGCTCCGACCTGAAGATCACTGACGTCATGATTCGACCTTGATTTTTTCCGAGTTCACAGTTGTCTTGAAAGTACCATAAATCCAGAGAATGCCAGACTTTGATGACAAAATATGTTCAGGTGAGCACAGGACAAGTTGACTCCAAAAATGTATTGTATGCTGCTGCATAAATTATGTAAGATGCCAGGGAGATATGTATACTGTAGCTAAGAAAGTAATACTAAGTGTATGTTGTGTAGTAAGCTGTTAGTAGCCCATGTGCCTCACCCTAATAATTTGGTCCATTTCCCCCTCATAATTTAGCCTACTGTTCTGACTTGGTGGTGAACATGTAGCCTATAACCTGTTTTAGAGAAATGTAATCATTGAATATTGTAAGAGCTTTCATTGTCTGCTTATATGCCGCCGTTATTTATCCTTCGGTTCTGACTTGGTGTACAGGGAGAACACTGTAAGAACGGCCCATGTTCTGAATTCTGTCGCTGTCCATTTCAAAAGCGTTTAACAAATAGTTATATTGACTACGTCCGTCCTAGATCGCTCATTGTCTTAATCGAAATTACAGATTGCCTCTTATCCACTCTTCATCCCCTTATGCCATAGTTTGTACATCTTAATTGTCAGTAGAAACCACATTTGTTTAAGCAAGTCAGCCATATCAGCTATGTTTTTTTTTTTAAAGTCAGTATACAGTGGGGAAAAAAAGTATTTAGTCAGCCACCAATTGTGCAAGTTCTCCCACTTAAAAAGATGAGAGAGACCTGTAATTTTCATCATAGGTACACGTCAACTATGACAGACAAAATGAGAATTTTTTTCTCCAGAAAATCACATTGTAGGATTTATAATGAATTTATTTGCAAATTATGGTGGAAAATAAGTATTTGGTCAATAACAAAAGTTTCTCAATACTTTGTTATATACCCTTTGTTGGCAATGACACAGGTCAAACGTTTTCTGTAAGTCTTCACAAGGTTTTCACACACTGTTGCTGGTATTTTGGCCCATTCCTCCATGCAGATCTCCTCTAGAGCAGTGATGTTTTGGGGCTGTCGCTGGGCAACACGGACTTTCAACTCCCTCCAAAGATTTTCTATGGGGTTGAGATCTGGAGACTGGCTAGGCCACTCCAGGACCTTGAAATGCTTCTTACGAAGCCACTCCTTCGTTGCCCGGGCGGTGTGTTTGGGATCATTGTCATGCTGAAAGACCCAGCCACGTTTCATCTTCAATGCCCTTGCTGATGGAAGGAGGTTTTCACTCAAAATCTCACGATACATGGCCCCATTCATTCTTTCCTTTACACGGATCAGTCATCCTGGTCCCTTTGCAGAAAAACAGCCCCAAATCATGATGTTTCCACCCCCATGCTTCACAGTAGGTATGGTGTTCTTTGGATGCAACTCAGCATTCTTTGTCCTCCAAACACGATGAGTTTTTAGTTTTTACCAAAAAGTTATATTTTGGTTTCATCTGACCATATGACATTCTCCCAATCCTCTTCTGGATCATCCAAATGCACTCTAGCAAACTTCAGACGGGCCTGGACATGTACTGGCTTAAGCAGGGGGACACGTCTGGCACTGCAGGATTTGAGTCCCTGGCGGCGTAGTGTGTTACTGATGGTAGGCTTTGTTACTTTGGTCCCAGCACTCTGCAGGTCATTCACTAGGTCCCCCCGTGTGGTTCTGGGATTGTTGCTCACCGTTCTTGTGATCATTTTGACCCCACAGGGTGAGATCTTGCATGGAGCCCCAGATCGAGGGAGATTATCAGTGGTCTTGTATGTCTTCCATTTCCTAATAATTGCTCCCACAGTTGATTTCTTCAAATCAAGCTGCTTACCTATTGCAGATTCAGTCTTCCCAGCCTGGTGCAGGTCTACAATTTTGTTTCTGGTGTCCTTTGACAGCTCTTTGGTCTTGGCCATAGTGGAGTTTGGAGTGTGACTGTTTGAGGTTGTGGACAGGTGTCTTTTATACTGATAACAAGTTCAAACAGGTGCCATTAATACAGGTAACGAGTGGAGGACAGAGGAGCCTCTTAAAGAAGAAGTTACATGTCTGTGAGAGCCAGAAATATTGCTTGTTTGTAGGTGACCAAATACTTATTTTCCACCATAATTTGCAAATAAATTCATAAAAAATCCTACAATGTGATTTTCTGGATTTTTTTTCTCAATTTGTCTGTCATAGTTGACGTGTACCTATGATTGAAATTACAGGCCTCTCTCATCTTTTTAAGTGGGAGAACTTGCACAATTGGTGGCTGACTAAATACTTTTTCCCCACTGTATGAGGATGAATAAACTGATAAACTGCCCGACAAGGCTCCGATGATAGCCAGGTTTAGCAGTGGTATGGATTCACTCCATGGTGCTGAAAAGAAAGCGCTGCTGTTGGGACAGCTTTATGTAGGCCCTAACAGTTTGTGGGCACCGTTATAGTGCAATGAATGTATTGTTTAGTGTTGTTGTGGCTTTTCCAGTATCCGTCAGATTGTTTTTGTTTTGAGTTTGCCCAACCAAGATTTACATGCTAAAATCTCCACTGCAAGCTGCTAATAATAACAATGCAAGCCTATAGATACACTTTCCTACTCATTCAATACTGCTGCTGCAGTGCTAAGTGGAAATAGGAAGAACGTGCATTTTATGGCTTATATAAGTGTTGAATACAAAGTGTTGACAGTGCTGAGTAACAACTTAAACATTAACTCATTCATAAAAACAGCAGCTCTTTGCTGTATTCGTTGACATTCTCCCTAGTCATGGTTTTAAACCTTTTGAAATCTCACAGTATTCATTTTACTGTAGCTTTCTTTTATGCCTGCACCTTACTTTGCAGACACTTAATCTGAGCCATCCGATTGGCCAGCGGTAGGCCTATAGTACAGTTGATTTGCTCTCTGGGCCTGCCGGGATGCAGTTTGTACCTTCAGACATATGAAATGTCAACAGTTCGCCTACCCGGCGCGCAGGGCAGCTGAATCGGGTGCACCTACGGCCAACATCCGGAGACGAATAAAACAAAATAGGAACACCTGGCTTTATCGTTGGGTTTTTTACAGAAGTTAAATCTCGTGCTTCTCTCTGTGGGTGATATTTCTCCGGGCTAGTTTAGAGGGAACATTGCTCATCAGCTGTGCTATCCTCATAGGGCATCCTCTGCCCTGGCCTATTATTATATAGGGTAAGTAGTATGGTGATACTGTAACAATGATCCTTCTTCCTTATTATAAATATTAATGGGACCTTGTATTGCCACTATTTCATTATTTGTACCTACATACAGTACCAGTCAAAAGTTTGGACACCTACTCATTCAAGGGTTTTTATTT